TGACAAGATTTATCCAGAAAATTTTAAATGAGATGCATACTGTACATGGCTGAGATTGACCATCCAAAGGTTGATCCGAGAGTGAAGTAAAAAAACAAATTGAGACAATCAATCAGGCACCATTGCCAGTAGTAAACCAAGTCATATTATCAGTGCCACAAAGTTTTTCTTTTGTGTGTGTTTTCTCAGGTCCAGAAATTGCGCTTACAATCCACCATTCATAGGGAGATACTGTACAGTGTATACAATGATAGTACATAGAGATATATTCGTTGATGAGAAGTGGAAAAAAGAACATAAGTAAATAATAGTTAAAAAAGAAGAAAAAACAAACCGAGCTGTCTTGAACGACATTTATTGCCGCCACAAAGAAAGTTTCCGAAAGGACTGTGATTGTGCATATGATCCACCATTCATAGCGAGATACATACAGTGTACATAGTGATAGCACATAGAGATACCAACAACTCATTGAGGAGAACTGGAGAAAAAAAAAAAAAAGTCAAAATGTCTTGGACGGCAACACTGGACGATTGAGGGTGCCACCGAGGTCAAGACCAGCAGGGCAGCTAAGTGATTTTTTTAAAATAATACTGTATTAGTCTGTCATAAAGGCATGATCATTCACACATGTCAGTTCACTTAGACTAAAATTAGTAGATGTGATTATAAAGGAAATCATCCCAGCGAGAAGTAAATTTCTTCGTTCGAAGAAATTGAGTGTGGGAGTCCGGTGAGTGTCACCTGACAATGAGGCCGATGTATGAAGGCAGCGGAGAGTGGCTTTAAAGGGATCTTGACGCAAAGGCCCTGCCACCAGGGCTTAAGAGCCTTAATAGACAATGCAGCAATGCTCAATCCTAGCCGCCTCCTCGTCAAGGGGGGACTTTTAACTATGGAGACAGCAACTGGAGAAATGAGGTAACGCCAAATGACGTAAATAACCGCGCTACTCTTTTTTGTAGAAACTCTGAGAGATAATTTTCTGTTCCAACAAGTTAAAGATCCGACTCATCACAGAGGGGAGCAAAAATCCAAGCCACAGGACCTCATCATAACTAATGAGGAGGGTATGGTGGTCAAGCTGGAACATCTGGCCCCCGTTGGCACCAGCCACCACATAATGTTGTCCTTCATATTTAACTGTTACAGTACGTCCATGCTTTACGTTGTTTCGGTACTACGTCGCTAAACTTTAGAGACCAAAAATTTGTTTAACGTCCCGGTGATCTGATAACACGTACTTTTGCGTCGTCGCAGACTACATTTTCCGGTGCATCACCCGCTCTCGTCTGGCCGCTCTACACTCTCCTGGCTTGGCCAGAGTCTCAGTGACTCACCAACCTCCTCCTCTGCCACCCTTCCCCGCTCCCACCCTCCTCCGCTCCCAACCTCCTCCTCTGCCACCCTTCCCCGCTCCCACCCTCCTCCGCTCCCACCCTCCTCCGCTCCCAACCTCCTCCTCTGCCACCCTTCCCCGCTCCCACCCTCTTCCGCTCCCAACCTCCTCCTTTGCTCCCGCCATCCGCCTCCTCTGCTTCACTACCCACCACACACTCGCTCTACCACCTCAGCCCATCGGTGAGTACCTATACAAACTTAGTAGTTGTATATGTATTCACTATTTTCTATAGAAATGGCAATGACTTTCTGTATATGTAGTAATGTATTTTATGGGGCAAAGGGAGACTCAGGAACGTAACTCCTGTATTTTATCTACTTCTTACAGGAAAAGTTGATCCGCTTAACGTTGATTCATATAACGTCGCGTTTTTAGGAATGTAACCCCTACGTTAAGTGAGGACTTACTGTACTTGGTTCATGACAAAACCAGGCCAAGGTTCAAATATTATAAGGGTAATTACGAAGGGATAAGGGGTATCCCCTGGCCTGATTTACTAAGGTATAAGAATACAGACACTACACTGAATATAATAGCCAGCAAAGTGAACCATTTGATCAAGAAATATATATACCCAAGACCAAACCCAGAACCCTTAGGAATACAAGGAGACCGCTACACATGAACCATGCAGCGATCGAAAATGTTAAGAAAAAACTCAGAAATTCAAGATGTCGGTTAGGACAAATGATGAGCAAGACAGGAGGATGAGGATATATGCTAGATCCAGGAACCAAGCAAAGTCAGAGTTCCAGAGCTCAAACGAAGTCAAGTCAAACCCAAAAGCATTTTAACGCTACACAAAGTCAAAATTAAAAATGCGAGTGAGAGTATCAGACCTGAAGGTTAAAGAAGGTAGATACGCAGATTCTGACCAAGACAAAGCTGAGGCATTGAACAGCTTCTTTTCCTCGGTGTTCATAAGAGAGGATGCGAACAATCATCCTGAGTTTGAGGACGGTTGGTTCGACACAGCGCTGGCCTACATTGTGTTCTCAAAAGAGGTTAAGAAAAATAAATTGTCAAAATTAAAGGTTCATAAGAGTCCCGGCCCTGAGATGGTGCATCCCAGAGTACTTAGAGAATTGTACAACAAACTTGCCGAGCCCTGGAGATCCTGTTCTGTAGATGCCTGGATGAGCAAAAGGTCCCCAGTGATTGGAAAATGGCTTATGTGAATCCTATATTCAAGCAGGGAGATCGTTACTCCACGATTAATTATAGACCAATGAGCCTGACCAGCATAGTGTGTAAAGTACTATGGAGTTTTATGAGCAATGCCATGATAGAACATCTACTCGAAACAACCTTGTAAAGGACCGCCAACATTGTTTTATGCCGGGATGCTCCAGCTTAACACAATTACTCAAGGTACTGGATGTTTGGACCAGAATTCTGGAACAGGGTGGTAATATCGACAATATATACCTAGATTTTGCCAAGGCTTTCAATAGTGTACCCCATGAAAGGCTAAAAATTAACCTGGAAGGTTACGGTAGTCAGGGAAGTGTCGTAGCTCGGAGATTTCCTCTATGATCGCAGCAGTGTGTGTGGTGATTAATGGCACGAAATTGTCATGCGAACCCGTGACAAGTGGGGTACCACAGGGTAGTGTATTGGGCCCGATGTTGTTAGTTTGCTTCATAAATGACATGCCAGAAGCTATACACGCCTCCATACTAATGTTTGTGGATGATGCCAAGTTATTTAGGGAAATTAAGAACCAAACAGATTGTTAAGAGCTGCAGAAAGAACTCTGTAAGCTTCTAGAATGGTTGAAGAAATGGCTGCTAAGATTCAGTGTGAAGAAGTGTAAGGGGATGCACCTGGGGCGTACCAATAGTAAGGGGGCGTATCATATGTCCCAATGGGACGAAGAAACTACATTACCTGGTAATTGAGACTGAATGAGAAAAGGACCGAGGTGTGTATATTGACAATGAACTGAAATTCTCGGGCCATTGCGAGAAGGTAAATCAGGCAACTAAATTATTGTCTCATAAGAAGGTCATTCAGATATCTAGACGGTCCGTCCCTCGTAACGATCTTCAAGAGTGAAGTGCTTCCCCATCTGGAGTACTGTCACCCCGTTGGACTAAATTAAAATGTACCCAAATGTACAAAAGTCGGTTACATGAATTCTCGACCAATATTTGACTAGTATTTGAAAAGTAATTTAATTTGAGTTAATAGATCGCGTGCATGTACCGAGGGAGCGAGTAATTACCCAAATGTACCCAAATGTAGCCGCAATGAAGTCAAATAATGGTTCTACATGAATAAATCGGACTGTCAATCACTTCTCGACTGGTATTTGGTGTCACGAAGTCACAAAAAATTGGTAAACTTAATTTAATCTGAGTTAATAGATCAAGTGCATGTACCTAACCTAATCTAATCTAATCTAACCTAACCCAACCCAACACAACTCAGATTAAATTAAGTTTACCGATTTTTTTGTGATTTTGACACCAAATAATAATCGAGAAGTGATTCACAGCCCGATTTACGCTTGTACGACCATCATTTGACTTCATTGCGGCTTTATTTGGCTACATTTGGGTAATTAGTCGCTCCCTCGGTACATGCACGCGATCTATTAACTCGGATTAAAGTAAGTTTTCCAATTTTTTGTGACTTTGTGACACCAAATACTAGTCGAGAAGTGATTAGCAGTCCGATTTATTCATGTAGGACCATTATTTGACTTCATTGCGGCTACATTTTGCTACATTTGGGTAATTAGTCGGACCGACCCCGTCTGGTCCCCTAGATATGCTAGGGACTGTCAGTTGATTGAAAATGTTCAAAGCAGGGGAACTTTTTCAGTGAGAGTTGTGAACTCTTGGAACAATCTGCCAGAGAGTGTTGTGAAGGCACCGAGTGTGAGCTCTTTCAAGACCAGACTTGACCAACACTGGAGCAGGTTCAGGTACATTCAGGAGCCAGTACATGCCCAGTACTTGCCAACAGTGCGAGAGACGTGACCGATCATTTGGTGAAGAGGATAAAAGAAAAAAGTAAAAGATAAAGTAGTATTGTAAGTGTTTTACCCCTCTAGTGGTAATGCGTTTATTTCTCATCAGTCATGGCTCTGGCCCGAGACACACTTCCATAATAATGCTAAATAAAATTCCTAACAGTAATAAAAGTACGGACCAACTGCCTGAATAACTGCTGTAGTAGACTGATGTGGTGAAATAAAAAAGGAATTATAAATTAATCTACATTGAAATACTGTCGGACTTTACTGTATGTGATTATAATGTACAGTGCACAAAGATTATAAGCCGGCTTCTATAAGCTGTGGCTTCATATATAAAATTGCCGTAATTCTATATCTAATACATGCCAAGTGGAGGCTGACAACTACCTCATAATGGGGCTCCGTGACCTCATACTACGACTGACCCTTTCTTCCCTAAACAATGTGGTACAATAGCACTAACCACTGGGGTAGTTAAGACCGTCAGCTGGGACTCAACAGTAATTCACTTGTTTGTTTAAGTAATGCCATCTACCGGAAGAGCATCACAAGACAACCATGGCGGGAACTACCCCATTATTACAGATATAAAACATAATAATGTGTACATACCGAGGTTAATGGCAGCTTCAGTACAGCAGAGACCAGTGTTACCTGAAGCACCAAATATAACGACCTTAAGACCGTCCATGACTCCGGTCCCTCAAGTAACACAAGTAACACTGGCACCACCTAGAAACAAGATTGGATTTAATTAATTAATACCAGATTTATATTGTAATAATGTATCCAAATAATATATACTAAGATAATAAATACAGATATAATATAAAGAACGAGTATTTCTCCCAGTTATATATTAAGCTGTACTGCTAAATGACATTATATATTATACCAAGACAAAAGATAAAGCTTAATAAAACAAGATATATTTATTAGGTATCTCAAACTGAATAGAATGAATATAAAAAAATAAAAAATAAATAAATAAATTCATTTAAATACATCTTGAACGTCAATGTTTGTAGATTCATTCCGTCGTTCCGTTCCTCTATGCCGTTCCCCCCAGCGCTCCGTTCCTGAACAACGGAACAGTCAATTGAACAAGGGAACTGTACAAGGTCGAGAGCAGAAAGCTTAATAAGCCTTAAAGTAAGCTTGGTGGTCTCGTGTGCTGGTGGTGGGCGCGGTGTGGCATGATGGCGGGCGGCGGGGCGGCGGCAGCGGCCCTGTCATCAGACATAAGCCGCCGCAACCCACAGGACGAGTACGAGCTGATACAACGGATCGGCAGTGGCACCTATGGCGATGTTTACAAGGTGATTCACTATCTTATATGATGTTATTACCTGTGTGGTGAATGAGGTTGTTAAAGGTCACATATGGTGGGGTGTCAGGAACCTCCACAACTGTCATTACTACTGTTTGTGTGTCTCTGTCAGATGGTAACATACACTCTTATTTCACCCTCTTATTTACATTTTCCGTGAAGTGTGACTTTAATTTTTATGATAAGATTATTGTCCAGATTACCTGTACTCCTGAACTAAACTGTAGGACATTTTACCCTACAGGATAATTTTCTTGTCTAAAAAAAAAAAAAAAAGGTAAAAAATTCTAAGAGGAAAATGTTTTGCATAATTTCACTTACTATTTTGGGGGTAAAATTTTTGTTTGTCATCCCTGTAGTTAGATATCAGAGAAACTAGTGATTTCCATCTGATATAAAATACCAAATAGTTCAAAACATCAAAAACCATCGAAAATTTTCTAGTTACAATCAGTAGTTTTGACAATTCTAAGACACTTTTCTTCAATGGCATTTCTGGTGCAAATTACATATAAGGGAGATATGTAACATTTTATTCTGTATATTTGTACGTGGCGGTACACACCAGAACATCGGGCAACTGTGGAGCTCCCCAGTTAGGTTAGGTTAAATTCAGAACTTTTTTCGGTGGTTTTTAATGTGTTTTGAGCATTTTTAACCTTGATATTTATAGCAAATCTCTAGATTCTGAGATGGGAGGGAGGGAGGGGGTTTATCTCAGAAACTATTGATTTATGTTAGAATTGAAGGTCAAATTCCTTCATAACACATCAAACACCATCAGAAAAACATTATTTCAACTTTGATTTTGTATCGTGGCAACAAGTGAATATTTACCAGGTTAAGTTGGGTAAGTTAGGTGTGGTTAGTTAGAGTTGTTTATATTATAGCAGTAGCAGGTACAGTCAACTGTGTGAGTGGTTCCTTTTGTAGACTGGAATTATTTTGGTAATGTCTGTGAACAGCACTACCAGCAGAAGTAGTTGTTTGGTTTTTTTATTTTTTCAACAGATGGGTTAATACTTGTTTTAACGTCCCCACCAGTTTCTATGAAAAGAGTTAAGATTTTGCTAATTGGACTTTAGCTATAGGTTATGTTCCCTTTCAATATTCTTGGATAGCCATTATTTTGGAGGTAATGTCCAAAGTTGAATTAGTTACCGTAAATACCCCTCTGATAAATCTGCCGTGTTGCCAGGTGTCGTCTGTTGTGTACAACCGACTCGCTCAGTCCAAGCGTACTCTCACGTCCACTAAAAACATAACAGAAAGTACTGGTACTTACTTTGATATCTGGTACCAGTGAAAGCAACTTTGATGAAGCGTCATAGTGTAAATTTATGTTTTTTGTGGACGTGTGAGTAAGCTTGTACCGAGCAGGTCTGTTGCAAACAAACAAACATGGGTGATTCGGCAGATTATTTGGATGAGTATTTACGGTAAATAATTAATTTCTTCGCGTACAAGGCAGGTAGAGACATCATTTTAGTGTCATGTGATAAGTTTTTCACCATTTTTCTTTGTCAGGGTCATCACTGACTTCTGCCTTTTACTTTTCACTTCACTAGCTCGACACTAGACTGTCTTTTAGGGGCCACTTCACACAGAAAAACTAAAGTTTTGAGAGTACAACACCAGATGATGGGTGGGGTGACTCATTGTGCTGCAGGAAAAGGCTTGCAAGCAAGCCACCATAGCCACTACCTGCTTACTGTGAATTGCAAACTTGTGAATAGCAAAGGTCTACTGTAGTTTGCATGTAGCGAGTAACGATTTTCATTTTTTTTCAATTGTATTGGAGTAAAAGTATTAGAAACCCATACTTAAGTAAAAGTTGAACTACTAAAAATTTGAGTACTTTTTAAAAAGTAAATACCCAAGAATTTTACTTGAATACAGTACAGTACTCAAGTAAATTTATTTAGTTACTTTACAACTCTGGTCTCAAGGTGTGAAGATCTTGAAAATGCACCATATGGAATTATGAAGCATTTCTTCTGTGATAAATTGTTTTTATATTTTTCAAGAATTATTACTAACATTACTTTATTATTATTTTCAGGCAAAACGTCTCATCACCAATGAGTTTGCTGCAATCAAAGTTATCAAGTTAGAACCAGGTAAGGTTATTGTTTTAGTGATTGTAATGTGGTACTCTACTGTACTCTACTCCTCTGGTTTGGAGATGCTTGTTCATGTTATTCAGAAGGTTAATCTTACATTTATCACTTGGAGATACAGAGACAAGAACTGATTTCTGTATAGTATACTCATTAATATGAAGTGCACGAGATATACAAGACCTATTGATTGATTGCCTTAAATGATAGTCACATACAGTACAGTACACTATGGTACAATTTTAATTTACATACCTGTGTTAGAATTCAAGGAGTCATGATGAACATTGGGGCTAAATTTTTCTAACAAAGTGATATCTCTGTTAGCTGGAACAATTGATCCAGAGCACTTTTGGGAATGAGAGATTTCCAGGTAATGAGACGACTCAGGGCCGGAAAAAATCCCTCATCCCCGAAATTTTCCGGATAATGTACCGGAAAATGCGCCTGATTATTGTATCTCTAACCCCGAAAAAAACTCCCCCATTCCCAGAATTTTCCTGGTTTCTGGAAAATTTTCTTGGAATTTTCTGGAAAATGTGCCCCTCGGAAAATCGTTCCTGAAACTGGAATTTTCCCCAAAATTCCGGCTTTGGGAACGATTTTTCGAGAAAATTTCAATTTCGGCTAACGGAGATATTACTGAGTTTGGTCATTCCTTCCTCAGTCATAGGGAAGGTGAATATCTAGTGCATTGGGTGAGTCTTGTTGCTGCCACTGGAATGTTCTAAGACTGAACACAATGGAGGAGTGACCAAGTACAAGTTATGTGTTGTAACTTGCATTGTCATAATTTTTTTTTTCTGTGTAGGGGATTTAAATATAATAGAAGGTGGTTTGTTTTATGGTACTGTACCTGTATAATTTTTACTTACTATTTCATACTGCAGTAATTTGTCAGTAAAGTATCTTTTTCTCTTCTTACTTCTTTGTTTTAGGGGATGACTTTACAATTATACAGCAGGAGATCTTGATGATGAAAGACTGTCGGCACCCAAACATAGTGGCATATTTTGGGAGCTACCTCCGCCGGGACAAACTTTGGATATGTATGGAATTTTGTGGAGGCGGATCATTGCAAGATATTTACCACAGTAAGTATGGACCATCTTCATAGGGATTTAATCTAATACAGTATTATTGTGTCAGGAAGTTGACTACAGTATCAGTAAAATGGAAGAGTGAAGAGTCAAGTAACATGGACTATGCTTAGTATGTCTTCACTTTGTTGTGTACAGTTTCATGAGTCATCTACTGTGCGTGACTGGAGGATTGTCATATCACTAAGTAGCTCAATCTGAATTTCGAATAGTAGACATTGTGAAGAACATGGTTGATTATTTTTTGTTCAAAGACAAAGTTGGGGAAAATATTAACACCTGGTGAGTTTGTGTTTGGTTTCCCATGTCTTATGTCCTTGTGAGGGGAACTTGACTATAGTATAGAACTCTTAGCAAACTTAGACAGGCTGCATACTAATCAAACAACTTTACTGTGGTCCAGAAAGTTGCCAGGCTTTTGCAGAATGCCATTTTTTTTTATAATAATAAATGGTGCACGGAGAAATCGGACATGTTTACAAATCAGATCAAATGTGTACATGCAGGCTGAGATAGTTTGAGCATGTGGAGATAATAGATAAGACCAATTGGATCAATGGGTGTATAAGCCTAAATGTGGAGGGGAGGAGAACCAAGGTAGACCAATAGTGACATAGGGGGAGGTTGTAAGAAATGACATTAGAGATAAGAACTTGACGAGAGGCTGCAAGAGACCGTGCAGCATGGTGAGCTGCCATCAGGCTAACCCACATAAGCATGGAAAATGACTGTAAAATGATGATGATGTTTACACTTAATATTTAGTATTGGTCAAATAAAACCCAAAATTAGAGGTACAGTCTTGTACTAAATTATCCCAGATGTTATTTGTTCTTACATGGGACATGCGAGGATGTTCATCTGGTTAAAGTTTTTTTTTACTTAAGAGGATATGGTTTTTATTTTATAGCTTTTTTCTTAAGTTTTACGAGATATAAAAGCTACATTATAAGATTATTTTGATCCCAGTGCAGTACAATTTTGATAATTTTGTTTTTTTCATTCTAGATAAAAGATGCACAAACATAATCCTTTCAAAAGAAACTTGCTATTTATACTGTACAAATTTCTTCCATTTTTACTTGTTCATGACTATAAGTAGAGACTACAGTAGTAAATTTCTAATAACCACTTTAAAATTTCAGTCATTGGTCCACTACAAGAGCGCCAGATAGGTTACATGTGCCGAGAAACACTAAAAGGTTTGGAGTATCTTCATCACAAGGGCAAGATGCACCGTGATATTAAGGTAAGAAAAGTTGTTATAAAATCCTTTGACACAATATATAGACATATGTGTGAAATAACTTGTTCCTGATGTAACAGAGCTTCTATAATTACAGGACCCAGGTTATATCCATGGCATTAGGTTGAGTTTTAACTTACTGTATTGTATATTAGTGGTAGTAATGAAATGCTAACGAAGATCCTTAAACAGTATGTTGTGATATCATATATTTTAGAAATAACCTAAGGATAAGTTAAAAATATATAGCTACTGTATGCTGTGATTTATATAATTTAACTTAACTATAAAGTGATGTCATATATGTTTGGCAACTTTCTTTTAGGGAGCCAACATTTTATTAACGGAGAATGGGGACGTGAAGCTGGCAGACTTTGGGGTGTCGGCTCAGATCACTGCCACAATTAGCAAGAGGAAGTCCTTCATTGGCACACCATACTGGATGGCTCCTGAGGTTTGGTGGTAGCAATTATTATTTTTTCTCCAATCATGCAAGCCCTTACCCCATGTGTGAGGGTAGTGTGAGCCTATGTGTATATAAGAGATAAATACCAAAAATCATATTGTTCTTTGAATGATGTTACAGTAGTGAATGAAGTTATGTACTGTATCACATTTGGTGCAATGTTTGTTTTGGTAAATCCAGTTATCAGCTTCATATTAAATAATGTCCAGCTGCTGAATATGTCATTGAGGTTATAAACACAATACTGTACATAAAATAAAGTTGACCTAAAGTAATATACATGACACAGAAAATCAATAAATAACATTTGTCTTAACATAGAAAGTCAGTCATATTAATTGCTAGATTATCCATGAATTACGGTGTATCTGGAATGAAATTGAGCCGGGAAAAAATCCAGGAAAACTCTCCATTCCGGGCATGGGAATGAGTGTTCGAGGATGAAAATTGGATGCATTTTCCAGAAAAATAATGAGAAATTATCTCCAAACCTCTCTGTTCTCAGTCTGGGAACAAATTTTCTGAAAGTTTCAAGAGATTGCATCATGTTCTGAACATGTTCTCACATGCCAGGTGCATCGGTGGCCTAGTTGCTTGGGTAACTTAGGCCGTATGTTTACACGATTAGGCTGCATTTACACCCAGACAGTCAAGTCAAGTCAATCAAGTCATTTGACTTGACTTGACTTGACTTGACTCAATGCTGTTCACACCGACTGAGTCAACCTGAGCCAATCAGGACTCAGTACCCAGACTGATTTCGAGGAGGATGGACGCATATTCTCTCACTGAATTAGCGGTTTTGTTGTGGATTCGGCGTCGTAAACGTAAGAGGAGGACCCAAATCTGGATGCATGAACTCTAACACCAAAAGACCCAATTTTGGAAGCTTCAGTCATTTATTCCCAGACTTGGTGAACCATCAAGACAAATTTAACAATTTCTTTAGGATGACAGTTGAAAACTTCAAAAAGCTGATGCACCTGACTGGGTCTTCCATAAGGAAAATGACTACTAACACTACTGCGGACTTGGCGTGACTGATGATGAAAATGGGCCCAACCCCATCTGTGACTTGACCTGACACATTGCGATGTGACTTGACCTGACTTGACTCATCTGGTGGGAATGGCTTCTGAGAATACACATTGGAGTAAACGTGCATTAGAGTGGCGATTCACGATGAGTCATGGCTTGACGTGACTTGACTGGCTCGGTGTAAATGCAGCCTTATTCAGCCATCATTGTAGAAGGCTGTTCCCTCGCTAGCTGCTGTTTCTGCGTACATTACTGTACCAGAATACACTGGGCCAATAATACAGTGTTAAAGCAGTGTTAAGACATAAAAAGTGATGACATTTACATACTCGTATACTGTCCAGTACTGTCAGTGTTAAAGTACCATTACAGTATATCTTGTTGAAATGTTAAGTTTAAGGATCTTTTATTGAAACAGTTCTGTAGAGTATTTACTGAGGTTCATTATGGTACCAAATTTATATCTCTCTAAGATAATTAGAACAGATGCTGAAAAAAAGACTAAACTTTTTTGGTAGCCATAAATACCCTGTACAGTATATTCGCCCCTCGGCCTTGTGCCACAAAAATACCTTCCATTGATGGCCTGTATTATATACTGTATATGTTTTAATATATTTATTAAACACGTTTAGGTAATGTATTCAGGATTATTTTGGTCATAAAACTGTGTTTCTAGCTTAAATAGAACTGATTTTATAGACTCCGGTGTAAACATTTCTTATGTTTTTCATAAAAAATTAAGTCTCCATCATTATATTGTGCCAAAATATTTTGTTTAATGACCTTTATTGAAACGGTCTTGTAAAGAATTTATTCAGGATCAATATGGTACCAAATTCAACTCTCTTAACACAATTGGAACAGATCCTGTGAATAATAGTTTACAGTGTACGTCTTTTTGCGAGCTTGTGACCGCAGCCTAAATGTAATGGGAGAGAGTTTGTCCATTTGAGAAGCATAGTTTAGTAATTTAAACTGTCTGGAAACTTTCTCCAGCACCCAGAAACATTCTGGGGATGTGCTAGTGTCTGTCCATGTGAGAAGTGTAGTTGAAACTCAAAAAACTTTCCCAAGTGCCTGGAAATCTTTCATATCCAGCTAATGTGGATATCACTGTATCTTATACTTGTAAAATGTAGTGAAAGTAATACTGTAGTGGGTTTCATAACTCTGACAGTTTATTAGGGGAGGGTTTGGATTGGTCACACTGAAGACTAAGCCATTGATACACAAGGAGACAGAGCTGCTGGTACCACGCTCTTTTGTTTGGTAGCCATTCTGCTGCTGAGTTGACTGGGGTGCCTCACTCAATGACTGGCCACATAAAAATAAATAATAATGGGAAAATCCTCTCACAAATACAGGGGGTTAATCAGAAACAAAATGTAGTATTAAAAATGTTGAGTCTACCCTCAAGTCTACACACACACACACACACACATACATATACAATACAGGTAAAGGAAATTACTGTCTTTAGAACTATTGGCTCCCTGTCCTGGCTGCAAAAATGCTGGCAACTTTAAAACTACCTTCAGACATTCTTGGGTATTTCCAGGGTGTCATCCGCGAATAATAGAGAACCGCGAAATAAAAATCCGCGAATTATCCGGGCGTACTGTACTATAGTTACATATGATTGGTAAAAACTCGAGTTTGACCTTATGATAAAATACCTTATTAAAAGTGTTTTTGGGGAAATTATTTTTAATTTCATTGCATACAGTGTCCTATTGTTTTTCAGGTTGCAGCAGTAGAAAGGAAAGGTGGTTATAATCAGCTGTGTGATATTTGGGCTGTTGGAATTACAGCCATAGAGCTGGCAGAACTTCAGCCACCAATGTTTGACCTGCATCCTATGAGAGCACTCTTTCTCATGTCTAAAAGTGGTTTTAAACCTCCAACACTAAAAGACAAATCCAAATGGACACAGAATTTTCACCATTTTGTTAAGGTGAGTTGTCGTATTAAGAATAAAAGGAAATGCATTTAAAAGATACCTCATAATAAGCACATTGCATACATAAACACAGGGAGCAGCATTGTGTGTGGGATTGAGTGGAGAACATGACACTGAAGGATTTGGGGAAAGATATGTTGTTGCTGGTAGTGAAGTAAACCCAAATTGGGACCTTGTTGTGGAAAGTGGTTACTTCAGCAGAACTTACCTTTTATGTCGGTAAGAATAATTGGATGACCATTATTTAAAGGGAGACTGAGCATCATCCTCTTGTTCCAGTTGCTCCACATGAAGTAGAGAAAGACCTGCAAGTGAAAAACTTATTCTCTGGGAAATATCAGATAGACTGAGACTTAAAGTTGACTTACTCATTTACTATTGAGAAAGAGAGAGGGAGGGGGGGGGGGTGAGAGAAAGATTATTGACATTTAATCGATCTTCTTGATTATTATAAGCGTTACAGTAACTATAATTATAATGTAAGTTTCTCATTTGATCATAAAATAAGATAGAGACCAATACAATATGTGAGATTTACTGTAACTATTACTTCTCTGTCTCAGCTGGCCTTAACAAAAAACCCCAAGAGAAGACCAACAGCTGATAAGTTGCTGCTGCATCCTTTTGTTGCTGCTGATCTTCCTCGGTGGCTGGCTGTGGAGCTCCTGCAGAAGGCCCACAATCCTCAGCATTCCTTCCCACCAGAGTTGGAGGTGAGATATAGTAAAGTCATTTATCTCTTGGTTTTGTTTCACTCTGTGTTGACATCTCTCTCTGATAACCGACCCAAGACAAGATGGTGACTCAGGGAAATGCACCAAAGTGTATAGTTTGAGTGGGGCTTTCTGTACGTATTTACGGAGTGACTCGGAAGTCTGGAGCTAAATATGAGTAGGGTGTTGGACTTTGACAATCAGTGCTTACATATTTTCTAAGTTACTGTATTTTAAGTACAGTACAGTACTCTATGGACTTTGATAAAATTTACTTCTTTCGTTCTGGATTTTTTCTAATATACTGTATATTCCTTTCCTTCTTAATACAGTACAGTATATTATCCCTGTGGCATCGGACATTTGGATTTCCAAAGGATGTATTGTAAAATCTTGATTAGGTTTATAGAATTTTGGGGAATATGGGGCACATTTTTGGGCAGGCAGTCGGTAATTAGAGTAAATGTTTTCCTTGGCTTTGAAGATAAAGTTATTAATCACTGGTGATGTTTTGATACTTCCCTGAATCAAAATATAGTTAGAAATAGGACTCTATATATATGTCAAAATTGGATTGAGAAAATATGATATAGACTGATAAGATTAGGTTAGTGTATGAGTACTTAGTTATTTACTGAAACAAATTCTCTCCTAGGCTAGTTTAAGAGTGTGTGTATTGGGTCTTTTAAGTTCTGTATAGTATAGTATTAGAATTTTTGTGTACAGTATTTATCAGTGTATATCTTTAACGTTACTATGGAAGTAGTTAATAGTGATGAATTCATCCTTAATATGGTACTTCCCCCTAGATTGATGAAGAAGGTGCCGTCACCAATGTTCCTCAGAGAATAACCTCAAGAACACCAACAAGACCTAAGCAGAGAACCAAGTCAGAGCTACACAGTAAGCAAACTTGGCAGTGGATGTTTTTATATTTTTTATCATTGTGGTACAAGGATGATGGTATATCTTCTATGGGGGGTATAACTACCACAGTTATTAAGAGTTACTGTGTCTGCTGAGTCACTGATGGCTAGTAGTACAACACTGTACTGTACACCAAGTGACACTTAACAAATAAACTTATGACTTACATTTTATGGCATTTCTTACATTGAACTTTATTGTGGATGGTATTGTGGGTTAGAATGCAATAGGTTAAATTCAGTGACTCGCTGATGTGTATTTATAATATCAATTTGCCATAAATCTGTTTGAGAACTTTATTTTGGATCATTGTAGTTAGCCTTGACCCTTGAGCCCATGTGATTATTCCACTTTTGACAATAATATAAATATATATATATATTATTTCAATGCAACTGGTGATGTATCCAGTGCAGTACAGTACTGTACTTATTTCTAACATACGCAATTGAATGCTGTGAGATTGTGTGGTTAATATAAGATGCTTGCCATTGTAATCTCAAATACTCATAAGTGTGGCAAGTAGGTTTCTTTTATTAACACTTTCAGGATCGCCTGAAATTTATTTAATGAGCCTGTCACTCGCTCTGTTCGTAGTCCGCAGAATGATCAGAAATCACCTTGAAGATATTTTTTCCCTTGCCATTTTGGCGACTAAACTGAAAAGTGAGTGTTTATTGTTGATTCTTCTTTGTGTTGTACATACATTATTGTATCAGTCAGTATAAAATGCTCATGGCAAGAAAGAGTAAATCATGCGGAAGACAATCGTGTAATCAGAGCAAATATAATGAAAAATGTAACAGAGTTACAGATCAAAAAGTAAAAGTAAGTATTGTAGTTGTTAGGAGTGCAGTCGCTGAAATGTTTATAGAGTACATACATTTTTTTTCCTTGCGAGATTTTTGTCCAAATATTTTTAAAGATTCTTTTTATGACGGATTATTACTGTACGCAACCCAAGGAAGAGAAATAGACCAGTTAGAAGTTTCTGTGACAAAAACTGAAAGTTTGGCAATAATATTTCCACTTATCACTCAGAAGAGGTAGGCCTTGACTGAAGCACGATAATGGCGATGCCGTTACGAATATGTATCAAATAAGCACAATATATTTATTATAGTATAGTCTCGGTTTACGCTGTCAATTAAACCCGTGGAGGTCCGCATAAAACGAGAAACGCGTAAACGAAATAACAGAACATATGGGATTAATTGAAATAGAGACTGAGCCGACCCCCAAACTACGCTTTTTCCGACACAATACCTACGTTGTAGTAAAAATAACATTTTAATTTTATGATGGTATGCACACACAATTAATATTTAAGAGAAATATCAATAATATTAGGTTTTTTAACACTTTCGTTAGTAAAAGAGATGGCTGGGTACACGGGGATGGGGGGTTGGTTCTGAGGCAGAGGGCAGATTATTGGCCCTCACCTGTATCACTTGTATCACTATCCACCACAGAGGCTTGCAGGGCCTCTTTGTCAAACCTCTCAAAGTCCATATAAGTCCATATCCTCACTATCACTGAACTTGGGCCGGCTGTGGTGGGTGAAGAACTCGGTAATGTTTTGTTGACTGGGCGACCTAGCGCACACCCTGCCCGTGCCACTTCCCTTGTAAATGATGGAATGTACCGTGTAACTAATAATTGCCGGTCTGGCCAGGTGCCGCGTAAAGGAAATCCGCGTAAATCGAGACTATAGGTATACTGTAATTCACCATAACCATATGTATGCTTCTACTGCACTACATTTAACTATCACATTTATTTTTCCAAGCTAGGCCTATATATTACGACATGCTTTTGTGTGGTATTTGCGACTATTGTGAGTAGCCATTTCACCAACGTCTCATAAATTCAAATATATTTCACTATTTCATTTTAAAGATTTCAATACACAATACTTAATCACTTCATAAGAATAAATATTGAGGTTGCAAGAGATAAATATCTTGGGGTAGCGGCGCATTTTTAAATTGGGCCGAAGACCAAGGCACTCGTTGCTTACTGAGGCAGAAGCATTACTGGCATTAGTTGTCTGGTACTGCCTGGTCCACCGCACATAGACGGGTTGCCATCTAGCCTTATGACTTGTTCTGCGCAAGCGAGTGGTGGGGGCAAAAGTGGCATTAAAATTTGAAGTGATTCAACCAGAAACTTTAAGAGAAAAAAAACGCCATACTGTACTGTACTGGCGTGTCTGATCATGAGGCAAAAGTTTCATTTACAATAAATCAAAAGGCCACTTATGAGTGTATGATTCTGAGTGTTAAAAGTGAATACAATACACTCATAATTTTCATGTGCACTTGTCAAATCCTAGGTGGTTGCTAGTGTGGTTTTTGAAGTTCATCTGAATTTTAGGAGAATTTATCAGCCTTATCATAGATTGACATGTTCCTTCACATTGTACTTAACGCTGGAAGCATCCAGTTATTCTGACTTCATCATCTGTGTTTTCTTCACATTTAAACTTCACTCAGGGATTGTTTACTGTCAACCCCAAGTGAGGAGACAGCAGCAGCCTTTGTGTTGCTTCCTTAACCTTTGAGAGTTGCACACTAGATATTTTAGACTAAGAATATGGAAAGCATTAATGGTTTAAATATTTAAAAGTAAATTTTCTTGCATCTTCCTGTTGTGAGCCTGGGAGTTACCATAGTAATTATCTCTACATCAGGCTAATATAAACTGACTCAGTGAGAGTGTTGATAAGGAATGATAATAAATATAAAGAGGCTACACGACACACATATATATAAACATTGACAAACTTGTTTTTATATTTTAAGTATGTTTTTTGATGAAAATACTGGGAGCAAGATTTACCAAGCTTTGTTTCCAAGTGAAATTACTTTTGTTTTTCAGTAGTTTATGAAAGATTTCACCCATATAATTAAGTCTTAAGTACATTATATTTAGCAAATCCAATGTTCAATAATGAAACTGACAATATTCAATTAATCCAATGCTGCTTAATGAAAATATAACATACGGGCCGGGAAAAAAGTATAGATTGTATGCCTTCTTCAGTCACACTGACCAACACCTACACATACTTCAACATCTTCACCATTGTTTTCAGTGGAGTCAGTGAACTTTGAACCCCCCCTAGTCACAGAGTTGAATGCTGAGCCACCGCCTGCCAGGTACCCAGTCGCGGGACAGCCGTGGGACTCTGCTATGGAAGTAAGTTTTCATCTGTTTCTAAGGATACTCCATAGATATATAAATGTTATAACTTAATTGGGAAATAATATAAGTTAAATTTCTATCTTTATGAATGTATTTCTACTTTTCTCTTGCTCCTGTGTAGGGTGATTCTGTGGGTAGGGGATATAGGAGGAGGAGTAGTGACTGGTATGTGTAGTATAAGATAAGGAAAGGTGAGAGTAACACACACACACACACACCTTGCATATGTATTATACAAAGGGATTTTTACTTATAGATTAACATCTTTTCACAATGATTGGTAATTTTGTTGTCCTGTAAGAATTGGATGTGAGTGATTGGTCAAGCCACATGGTACAGTATACACTGCTTCATGTCACTTCAGGAAAGGATGGGTGACTGACCACTCTGAATGACCAGGTACTTCACCATCAGTGTGAAGAGATTTTCATAATGAACAGTACAGTGATAAATATGGTTATAGTGTAGGGGCTTCTGTATGTATGTCGGGTCCTGTGGAAATAATGTGCTAATTTTTTTACTCGTCATAATTTTCAACCTTATTATATGTGGATTATGAAATTGTCTTTTTTGATGAGGTTAAATGTCATTTTAAGGTCACCAAATGTCACCCCCATAAATTGATTTTTGAAAACCCTGAACTGTGATTTTCTGCTTGACAATCTTCAATAGGGTAGAGTATACCACTTCAAAACACAGCTAGTAATGATCTTTTAAGGACACAGTATATGATTACTAGAGTACAGTATGTTAGAAAACTAAACTAGCAAGTGGAAGAATTTGATAAAAGACAACAGTTCCCTTCATTTAAGGTGGCCTGTAGCTACATGGAGGCAGTCCTGACTCTGTTGTTCTTTATCTGTGCTGCCCTCCAAGGACTTTGGAGCTTAAATCTTGTTTCACTTGAAATTCTCTTGTCACATTTTCTTTGCATGTGACTGGTTCAAGTGCCGGGTAGCACAGATGGTCCTAGGCTACATTGCTCATATGTACAGCCTCAAAGAATCTGATCTAAACGTATGGCAAGAGTTTGAACATGGAAATTTTGGTGTAAACAAAACCCAATTGCCATTCTGTAACATCAGGGTCGACCATGCAATAAAACTGTAAACCATATGATGAAAGTCAAAGATGGTGTGGGTTTCATAACACTTAACCCAGCAGTTTTAGCAAGATTCTTCTTAACACTCCTGAATTAACCTGCCTGACTTTATTTGTCCTTGATATGGTAGATATCACTCCTTACAAAAGGACAAAGTAATATGAACTGTTCCTTGCAATTGTGAACCAACAGACCTGTAATGTACAGAAACTTCTGAGTGTCAGTGAGGAATATAATCCTTTCTGCAAGGACAACAATGATATTGTTAATATTGTGACCCATGCCTTCATCATGCCAGACACTATCAAACAAGATATCCGAAGAGATGATGAGGCAGACAAACAAAACTACACAGAGCTCTTGGAAAAACATGTGGTGCCATCCAGCGTCTGGGACAAAATGACCAAATTAAATCAGTTATCCTGGAAGGCTGCATGCGAATCAGTGAAAGTAACCCCACCTTCTTGTGTAATAGAAATGAGAGAGAACAGATCCCTGTTTGCCAGACTAGTTATTGTTGCAAGGTCTCGCTCTGATGTGAATCTAGAAGCAGCCATCGGCTTGCACGATTTCACTTACATTCCAAGATATCTTTTTTCCCCTGACTGTCAGGGTCTGTCCTTCCTTGTGTTGACAAAAGTAAGTTAATGGTCATTCTGGAAGCTTTGGGCCAATCATACAAAATATACATTAACTAACAAAGACAGAGAATCAAATAAGAATCAGTGGAAGGGGCCCCTGCTAGAGAATCCCCAGAGCCCTTATCATTGATGGCATGGCATGCAATACCTTTGAAAACTTGTGCAGACTTTGTAGACCAATGCATCTGTACTGTAGTCCATAGAGCCATTAACTACAACTCACTTCATCTGATCTTTTATTGGTATGTTGAACCACAATCCTTGAACAGACCACAAGAAACCTTCATTATGGTACTGACACCACAGCTTAAGGCTATCAACTGCTGTACAGACACAGCACAGATATACAGTAGGTCCTAAGCAGCTACAGGACCATAGATGGTATATTTGGCTAGAAAAGTTCTCTCCTATTTTGAAAATGGACTCCAACATCTGGTGGTTTTTGCAGAATATGGAATCCATTCACACCATAATGATGTACAAGAACTGTCCAGAAACCTCAAGGAAGCAGACACACTCATCATATTATATGCCCTTCATGTCTCTCGAGGCTGTCGTCAAGGCTACGCAACACAAATCATGTCACCCGACACTCGTGTGTTTGTTTTGGCTGTGCGAAGACAATAAAAAATTGTAGAGGGTGCGTGTGTGATAGTTGGAACTGGAGAAAAATTATGTACAGTAGCTAAAACAAATATCTGTGCATACTTTGTGGGAATTACTGGGAAACAATATGAGACCATGGACAATAAATTTTGATATATGAGGGCTGACACTAGTCACGCGTAAAATTTTGGAGCGTATCGACCCCCACCTGCACACAACTTAGCATCACCCATCGGCAGCCTGTGTAGTGTGTATCCTCAAAAACCACTTTGTGCCATACACCTCAGTCAACTGCTTCCTGGAAATCCATCCTCTTCTCATCATGTGCCTTCCTTGACACATATCATAACTTTCATTAATTTGGTAACAAAGGGGAGTTGCTGTGCATTTAAGTTAACCAAGTAAATACTTTTGTTAAAGTCTCATTTTAATTATGTATGTAACAAAACCTTTACAGGAAGGAGAGGTGTCGCTGGATAATCATGATGTAGCAGAATCTTGGATGGAGAATGATCCTGATAGTGAAGTTAAAACCAAGTAAGTCTTCTGTTAATACCCTGTTACTGTACTGTACTCGAGTAGAATTAAACAGTCATTAGGGCCTTACAGCTCTTTGCTTTGAATTACCATTAGAAGAGTGTTGGCCATTACATTTTACATGAAACAAACATTTTTCTGCATTACAAGTATTGAGATGAATCTAGTCAGACCTATTCCAAGGAGTTTGCAAAGTAGATTTTCATATGATATTTATATTGTACAGTTTTCTTTGTTGTCACTCACTAGAGTCTGGACACATTGTTGCACAAATAGTATATAAGGGTAGAGTAGTGCATGTTTGTATAATACTTGGCTTAATATTTCATTACAAGGAATGATACGTTAAAGCTTACACCTTCAATGTCATTTTCACTCACCCCTGAACATGAGTAATGAAAATGAAGGTGATGATTATTTGCTGTGTACTGTATATACTATGTTTTGGAGGACAAGATTACCTAAGGGCATTACTAGTCTTCTCTTTTGTTATTTAAAGCAAAATAAAAAGTTTTGTTTGTTATTATCCAAAAGTATGGGATAGTTATAATTTGTTTTTGCAATTGAATTATTCTATTTTTAATAATAAGTTATGTTAAAGAGAGTGTGTTTTTCCTTACAGTAGTAGACAGTAGTGTTTTAGTTAATATACAGTGGCATAGATCATGACAATAATTGCTGATGAATTTGATTAATATAATGTTTTTCCAAGTGTTAATCTCATGCTTAAATTATTTTGTTTAATTTTGGCTGTTCAAAAAGCTTATAAAGTGAGTGGTCTTGATCAGATGGGATATTGGGATGTAGTTTAATGTACTGAACATTCATTACTTTTGTTACAGTTTTGTTGTTCTGCCCGAGAATGTCTCGCTGACAGTTACCCATAGTAAAAATATTACTTTGATTTATTTGTCAGTATTAATGTGAAATTTAGCACTGAAAAAATGTTTTAAATATTCTTGGAAGATATTACTTTTTTAAAAGAAAATTTTCAAAACTGATTTTGTATTTATAAAGTCATTTAATGATCTTTTGTCATATATCACACATTACATGAACCCTTAGGCAAATAATCCACTCCAGTAGCTTTGTAGATAGTAGCTTTGAACCTTTCCTAATTAATTAAGAAGGTGAGGACTAACCTGGCTTGTGTGTGCTCATCTTGCTCTCTAAAGCCCACCTCACAAGCTTTTCCTATAAAGGCCTTGTACATAGTTAAAAGATAGCGGGAAATATACTTTCCTAAGTTGCGTTGATAATTACGGTAACAGCTGTGACAGTGTTTTAATAATATAAAATATGAAAAGTACTTGAATACTTTTAATGCTTCTGTATATACAGTACTGTACAGTATTTGGCTTTAGACTAATTCAGTACATATTTTATCTCTGATCTAATGATGTGAACTACAATACTGTACAGTATGTCATCAGAGTTTTAATGTATAGCAGAGAAGGTTGAAGGAGTTTATAACATTTTACAATTTGCTTTTCACCAAATTATTGGTCAAGTTAGACAATACCTGTATTTCATAACTTACTATCTGTGGCAAATGTTTCATAAATTGATGTTCACAAGTTGTGGAAAGTATCTTAATAAATGAAAAGGTTTTATATTCAAAATTATTTGAAATAGCACAGCTTACAAATGTAGGCAATTAACAAATATTTTATTGGGTTTTAATTATTGTAATTAGTTTATAAAAAAAAGAATAACAAACAGACTTGTAAATATTGCAATACTTTGCCAATATTGAATATAAATGATAGAGAGTACTGTACTGGTAATAGTACACCAGAGCACAACACTTACAGGAAGTGTTGTGTCATCGTATTGCCTCTCTAAAATGAATTACAAGTTCAAGAATTTCTCCTCTTGTGTTAAATTGAGATTTGAGAATTTTTTACTTTTAATATATCATTATATACATTTTAAAGAAGCATCACAAAATTTTCTTAGAAATAAGATACAGTAATACCCCAAATTTCCCTTTTCTAAACCATGTTGAATTATTGGCAATGATAGACCAAGGGAAATAAGATAAGTGAGTGATACTGATTACTGTATAGTAGTTAATTTACCCATTGAAGACTTACAGGACTTATGAGAGTAAAAGGTATTAAGAACAATTAAAAACTGGTGCGCAGTAAAATAAAAATCACTGCTGTAATCATTTGAAAACTGTGGAGTCGCAGGTTAAGCGGTCCATACAAGACAGTCGTTGAATGATATGTGTTTGGTAGAGAAAAGTGTTTTGGGTTAGACCTCTGTACTTATCACTTTGTATTTTGTTGGTCAAGCCTAAATAGTAGATTAATAGAAATACTTAAACCACTATTTTCTTTCTGTATGCTTCTATGTATAATTTTTCCTGCCAAAACTGCTTTCATTTCATACAAGTTATGTCAGTGGTCATAAATATTTTTTTTTTACTTATCTATTTACTATTAATTTATTTTTAACTCATTTAATTTTCTCCTCAGTTTGCTTATTGCTGTTGCGTTGTAATTTTTTCTTGGGCATGACTGGTTTAAGGCAGCAAATTGGTGTGGCTCGTTTCTCCTGGTTTTGATGTTTTCAGTCTTCAGAATTATTGCTAAATTTGGGTACAAAAACTGTGTATTCTCATCAGATTTTCTGAGAACATTTTCCATCTGACATTTTCATACAAGGAGCTGGATATGAACAGTTAAAGGTAATAGAATATGTAACGGTAATGGAAATAATGGAAATAGTTCAAATGGCGAGAATCCCGAGTGGACAAAATTCTCGGGAGATGTTGAGGGAGGGAGGGAGATAATATCCCTTTTATTTCATGTGAGAGGTAGATGTGCTGTCTCTTGTGTTGAAGGACTGAGTGGTTCCAGTGATGACTCCTGGTGCAAGAGAGTAAAGATGACATAGATGAATTAGTTTAAAAGATCCCTGGGAGAGTAGGGATGGAGGCAAGTCGGTGAAAGATTCAGTAGAGCGAGATGAGGTAACTGGACATACAGGAGAGTTGGCTTAAAGTGATTAGATATTACTGAATGCAGATTATAGGACATATTGGGGGCAGATAGAAGATGGGTTGCAAACAAATTAATATAAGGGAAAGTTGTGGGAGTGGATGGCTTTGGGACACAAATATTGAAACGGAGAGAAAAACGTAGTACTGTATCTTAAGAAGAGTACATAACAGGTATTGAAAAACAGCATAAGTGCCACAGCTGTACCAAGTGGAGCAATAATACTTTTATATAGAGGGAAAAAGTTGTAAGAAAGATTATTGAGGAGTCAGTGTGGTTAAGTGTATGAGGGAGGGTATATGGTGGGTTGATAATGGAGTGGGTGAAAATAAAACAGTGTAAAGTAGGTGAAGAATTGGAAGGTGTTCACATTGAAATGTAACAAATTTGAGGTGCCATATATTTTTATTAAATGCTGTAATGCAAACGGAGGAATGTAACCTAACTTGACCGGCCAGGACCATAACCTCTCCCTCCCCCCCCCCACCATTATTACATTGACTTGTATGGGAAAAATTGCTTTGTCATTCATATAATCATTATATTATATATATGGATTTTTAGGAACTGGCCTCATACTAATAATGAAGACCCACTGTACACAGATCCTGTCACAGATTTATCTGCCAAAAAAATGGGCCAACAATCCTGTTACACATAAGACCGCACCAAACATTAACTTCTGGGCCATCTCTTTCGACCTCATGGGTGATATATGGATTCTCCATTCCCCTGATGCATCATTGTGTACAGTATATTGTTGTGACTACATGCGTGAAATGTTGCTGCGTTAGAGAACATGGCCTGGTTAAGGTACACTCGATCAAAAGAGTATCTGCACAGTGGATCCAATGTTTTTCTAAATGATCAATACGTACATCTATGCCACAACGTAACCACCAACATGAACTACTCTACATATAGTTCGCAAAATTACTTTCTTTTCTTCCGAGTGTGCATATAATAACAATACTTACTCTGGATAAAACAGGAAATGTTGCAAGCAAGCGATATAAGGCTTTTGCAATATACATTGTTTGGTGTCAGATTGTTTCATGCGAAATGTGCACAGATACTTTTTTGATCATGTGTACCGAGTGCTGTTATCAATACTGTAGATCACGTGCTTATCATATAAGTTTTCCTTTTGATGTAATCATCCAGTTTGAGGTGCTGAACCAGTTAAAGCTTATAAGCATAGAGCCGCAGTCGTGTGTTAACGATTTTATGTACAATTGAACGCGGCATTTGCAATTTGGTATAGGCATGGCAGATGGACTTCTTTGGTTATTCAACATCCTCCTCCGATGTTCTGGGCTCTCCTCCACAATGTTGTTTCAGGACACTGCCAATCTCCTCAAATTTCTTCATCCATGCAAAAAGTTGTCTTTGGTTCAATGGTTCCGTGCCAAACATAGTGCATCAGGGTTGTCATAGTTCAATCTGAAACATGTAAGTACATGAACTTAGATATATGATGTGGTATCTGTGGAAGTTTCAACAATCTCACATTCATACATAAAGAAATTATGATGCCTCAAAGTTGTTACATTTCAATGTGTGCGTGGGTGCATGTTTCCCCTAAAATTAGGGGAAAAATAATATATTGGGGCAAAAGTGAAAGAGGATGTAAACTTAGGGATGAAGAAGGAAATAAGAGATAGTACAGCACTGTACAGTATAGTATTTCCCACTGTGACCTGTAGTACTGCAACATGGACTCGTACACAAACAGAATGTTCTTAAATTCAAGCCACAGAATGAATTACCTGTAGGGTTGTAATTAGTATTAATCTAATGAAAGAAGTGAAGAATTGTGAACGGTAGTCTCAGAGTTGTTGAGTTGGCAGAGGATGTGAATTGTGGAGTAATTAATGAGTGGTGCTCTTAGACAGTATGGGTACGTGATGATGGTGCCTATAGATGTATATGTTGTGGAAGGGCAAGATAGAGTACTGCATTAAGGAGAGAATGGGTGAAGGAGGTATGCCCTCCCCCCCTCCCCCCCCCTCCCCCAAGTTCGCGGATTTTTACTTCGCGGTTCTCGGTTATTCATGGATGACACCCTGGATGTACCCAAGAATGTCTGTGGGTAGTTTTCAAGTTGCTGGCATTTTTGCTGCTGGGACAGGGAGCCATTCGTTCTAGAGACAGTAATTTACTTTACCTGTATTGTAAATATGTGTGTGTGTGTGTGTGTGTAGACACACACACACACACACAATTAATAATAATTGGAAAATCCTCTCATATATGCAGTAGTCAGAAACAAATTTTTTAAAAATGTAACAGTCAACCCTCAAGTCCATGATTTATTACTTTATTAAGAGAGCACGGACTTGAGGGTAGACTCGCATTGTTAATAAATTTGTTTCCGATTATTTGTGAGGATTTCCCAATTATTATTTATTTGTATGTGTTTTGTGTGTGTTTCTCTACACATACACACACACACATACAATATTACAGGTAAAAGAAATAATTGTCCTAAGGGCAAACACATAAGGGCATATACATTTCTTTGTACACAAGTTAAAATGTATCTCCCCCTCGCCTGCAAATGTTATTCGCGGATGAAGACCATTTTGAGAACTTAACCTCCACAAATTTGGGGGCCTACTGTATGTCATAATAGGGTGTCTTATAGGCTCTTCTGTTGTGGCTAACCCCTCTGAGGGGAGTAAGGCATTAAATATAAGAGAAAATAATCAAATAGATATAACCCTGAGTGTACTGTATTAGAAAATCATGCCTTAGAAACAGTATTATAATACACCTGACCCTCACTTTATGCTCACTATGTGCCAATTTGAAATTATGTGAGGACCCTGTTTCTACCCATACTTCCACCACCAGTTCATTTAATGTGAAAAAAAAAATGATGTTTTGCAATCTGTCCAAGATATGGAATGGAAAAACTGTGGATGAGGTGGCTTATGAGATGGCATGTTGCCATTTCTTATTTTATAATTTGATATATTATTTTTTCTTTTTCTAAGAAACATTAGAGTATTATAATGATTTTCCACAACTTTTATAGCATTACTGTTGTGTATTAGTAAAGAAAATGTGCCAGAATTAAAGTTGGGGAGCTCCAGAAATGGTTGTGGAACACATCACCATTTTACCCATAAGATTTAGAATTCACTTTTGAGACTTCAAGTTTTGTGAGGCTTTCACAGAATGTAACTGTAGCATAAAGCGAGGGTCAGGTGTGATGGAATATGCAATTGACAATTTTTGACAGTTAAATTATGGAATGTGTTAAAAATGTACTACAGTGACTGAGTGGCTATGATAGCTTTGTTTCCAGAAACAGCAGAAGTTATTCTAGCTCAGACTTAAGTGTGGATGTGATAAAGTACAATCTAGTTATTGTTGCTGAACGTCTTATTGTTTGTTGGAGGTGCAATTCTTAGCTGGTAGAAAGCAAGAGATATGTAGAATGGTATGTTGTAGTTAGGTAAAACAATGGGATGGTTTTTGTAAACTAGAAGTCAAGAGATTGAGGTACAATTACAGGGAAACCTCGATATAGCAGACTACCCTCTCCCATATACAGGTGCAGAAGTTTGTGAGGTGAAGGTTTTGCTATACAGTATTATGAAAAAATTAAATTGGATTCAGAATGATCAAGTTTTAGGGATTTTTTTTTTTTAAATGATGTGAAGGCCATTTAGCTGTGAGGGAGGTGAATGATAGCCATGTTGCTGGTGCACTTGTCACAATCAGTTGGGTAGAAATATTAACTGTATATGTGGCAGATTAATTTCAGGGAGACAGGTTACTGTACTCTGATGGGTTGGAGTGATACATGGGCAGGGAGAGAAAGAACTGATAAAAGAATTAAATATTAATAAGTTAAAGTTGGTTAAAAGTTAAGGTAATTGATTAAGAATACAACTGAGATGGGCTGGTTAGAAGTGGAAATTGGAGTTGTTTGATAGTACAGTACTGTACAGTGCAGTACAGTACAGTACAGTACATTAAACACTTTTCCCCCTTCTGGAGAGTGAGAGATAAACCGTTAGGTAGAAAATCTGAACTGATGATCCAAGTCAGACGGTAAATGGCTCGAGATGTGCAGTTTTATACCCTTATGTGAAAACAAGTTCTATCTCATAACCCTCAAGTAATTTATTTAAGAATGTGAATTGGTAAAGAAGACAGGAGTTCATTCTTTACAAAAAAAAAATAATGAATAAATTTAGTAGTATTTTTTTGTTCTAAAAATATAAATAATTTTGTCTTTGGAGTTAAAAATAAAACATGATTGATAAAATTGCCATCAAGAATTTGATCAAATTCATGTTGGTGGAAAGAAAAAACTAAACTGTTGTTTTGTCAAAATTTTAAGATACTCATTTTCTTCTTGTGAAGGAGTGAGATAATGTGTTTACTTTACTGTGTTATATTTGTTGTTTTTGAAGGTTTTTATGAGATGCATGAGAAGCTAAGATTAAGAGATGATGTTGTTGGTAGATATTTGGTGGTAGTGTTGATAAATGTTGCTTGAGTCAACAAGACTCTCTCCTGTGTGTCATACAGCTCAAGTAGTTAGGGTTATGCTGAAACACGAGTATAAGTTGTTTATACCCAATGGTTTATTACAGTGTTTTGATGCTGACAAACATTGGTGGTGTGTCTCATGTTATTGGTGGTTAGTAGTTAATTGAAGAACTTGTACTCAATTACCCTTTGCTGGAATTATAATTCGTCTTTCACCCTTGATTTCTCAGTTAGCTTAAGTAACAAACTGATCTGTTTAATGGCAACTATCTTCAATTCTTAAACACTAATCTAATGGTAGACTCTGAATCTCAGTTAACATAACAGCAATCAGTGTCTAACAATAACCTTATTGAAACTATTGTTGTACTGAATATTATCTTTTAGAATGCAATCTAAATAAAACACTAATGTTGGATATTTGCAAGGGTGTCAACAGAACAACGTATTAACAAAATATCCAAGTTGGTAAACACATGCACTTGTACACATGTGATATACAGTACAAGACTTGTTAACTTATTACAAATGCTGCATGACTCAGATACAAGACAATTTATTTCGTGAACAAAGCAGCACGAGAAAAATACTTATGAGGAAATAAATGTTCTTTGTGTAAGTGAACCTGTTTCCAACCAGTTTGATATATATGTCAAACTAGGTATCAGTATAATATATTGACTACCTATTTTCCACTAATGTGAACAAGTTCTCAAGGCAACCTCATTGTTGTCACTAGTCTGACCTGGACCCAGTCACTGCCCAGCGCACGGAGGGGCAGAGGGGGGCTCAGGGACATCGCCGCAAATGGCCCTAATGAAAACGGTGGCTATCTGAGACTAGGTGCAGACAGCAGTGATAGAGACTATGCAAACTTACCCCCACTCAACTTGTCCCACCATGCAGACACGACTTATATCAATTCCTCAAATTATATCCCTGGTTCCCCTCGAAATTCTGATTCCAAAAGGGCTGATAGAGTTGTGGAGATAGGTCATGGAAACCTTCACACTAGTTACTCCCATGACTATTTCTTGAATAATCATTACAGTCAGAGGGAGCAGGACAATGAATACTCTTACCTTGATGGAAACAATGGATACTCTGTACCTGACCCTGATAACAATGACTACATGACAACCTCATTTATCTTAAAGAATGATGAGGTCCCCTACCATGATCCCACTTGCACTGTTGCTGACTGTCAAAGACCAAGTTGCCTCATACCAGACTATTCAGAAGACACGACCATACCCTATCGTTCACTAACCTCACATGACCAATCTGACCAAGAGACTGAACGCCCAACTCGGTCCCGATCCCGTTCCCGACACCACAAGCGACATCGCCACCGGTCGAAGAGTGATATGGGCTCCTTGAATGCCCCCCAACAAGCCCCCCCATCATTCCGTGATGCCCAGGAAGCCCCTCCCACTACCGAGGGAGTGCCAGATACCCTCAGACGGGAGAAACGTCCTCTCTCTGGCTCTGATGTTCTGCGAATGTCTCCAAGGTAGTTTTTTGACCACGTTCTTGAATGGTTCCATAAGAGGGGAAGAAGTTTTAATTTTTCTTTATTCTGTCTTGGTTGGTTTGATGGAATGACTATTTATTTGTTTACAGGAGATGTTTAAAGGTGGTGTCCTGCCACTCTTGTGCCTTGAGCTGTATATTATGCTAGTGCATTTTTTAATATGCCCATAATGTAGTTTTTTTCTGCATTTCCCTTATTGGCATGAATATTTTCAATATTTTGACCACATTCACATTGACCTAAGACAGCATCAGTTATTACTGCAGGTCAGTGTTCTTACTCATTGATTATAGATTTTTAATGTGTTTAAGATTGTTTGGTGGTACTGTACCTTAGAAAAATAAGACTCGTTTAGCTAAGTTCTCCCTGGCTTTGTGTGTGTTTTATGTGCACTCCATATATGTGGTCAATAATATATGAAAGACGTGTCTCCAATTAATGTAATATAGTATAATCTTTTTTTTCTTCAATTATTCAAGCTCTTTTAGAATTTGTGATGCAGAGTCGTACGAGGTTCATCCTATTTTGCTCATTATCTATAAAATGTTTGTATGAAATGAAAGCAGTTTTGCCTCATCTTTAAGTTTGGCATGGCATAATTTTTTTTTTCGTATAATAAAATAAGGGTCTCAAAATTAAATTGTTTCCTAGCTCAGTGCACAAAATAAAATCACATCCCTAAATTTTATAGCATTTTTAACATGATAATATAATCACTAAACAAAATGCAGCTGAATGTTGTATTCATGCTACAGTAGGTAGATTAGTACAAGATAAAGCTTTATTTACTTAGCACAGTATTTTATTGTACATACTGTAGCTGTGATTATAATATACTTACCCTATTTATAGTGAGCAGAATGATGATATTAATATAGTAGGATAATCATTACTGTGGCAGTGGATGTGACAGGTAGCCACATACTGGAAGGTGAATGTTGCCTATGGTAGGAGGTAGCCCGGCTGACCCATTAGCGATTGTGTTCGTAAATGATAGATTGTTTTCATTTTAGTCAGATTCTTCTCATCTTAAAAGTTTCATTATTTCATTTCATTTTATTTTATTTTATTTTATATAGAAATACTTACATTGAATACCATAATTGTAAATCACAGTATTGTACTTCCAAAATCTGAAGCTACTCTGATTACTTTGTTTGCCGGTTACAAAATTATTTTACTTTTGCTTTTGTATACCCCCTGTGTGTATATATATATACTATATATATATATATATATATATATATATATATATATATATATATATATATATATATATATATATATATATATATATATATATATATATACATATACACAATATATATATATATATATATATACATATATATATATATATATATATATATATATATATATATATATATATATATATATATATATATATATATATATATATATATATATATTAGTGATGTCACTCATCACATTATTTATACAGGTTTTTTTTTTTTTTGCCTGCTAAGTGGTGGCTTCAGTAAATACTCAGATCCATTAAGTTTATTATGTTTTGAATCTGTGTGGACAATATGTCATTTACGGACACAGCAGCTCCTACTGTGTTCGGGACCTTGGGGCTGTTGTAACCCCCGCCCCGCCGTCCACCCCCCTACATAGTATTGCTCCTGCTGCCTAACTCATACATTGTATACCTTGCTCTCGACAGGAGCCTATTGCAGTATATTGATGAAGAGTTGCGAATGAGGTATGAACTCCCCAATATTACCAGTTTAACCTACTAACTGTTGTATTGTTTTGTGTATGCCTAACATTGTACTTGTAGCTGGTATAGCCTCACAGATAACTTGAGAAAGTATTAAAGCAGAAACACTAACTGTAGTTCTGATCTGCATGGTTGTTGTTTTGTTCCTCGCATGCTTCTCTAACGGTACTGTACTGTACTGTGACGGCTTATAAGAAAAAGCACTCTCTTGATACCCATAAAATTTGTGTTGTAGCTTTGTCGATTGCCAAATAGCATTTAATTCATTGAACTTATAAAAGGTCCATTTTTGCATTTGTAAAATGTCATTAATATGGCAGCATTCTCAGTTATCTTAAAATCTTTATTTAAAGTAACTTTATTACATAGTTTTAAGATGTGATGAATGCTTATGCCTTCCTTGCTTATTTAACTTTTTGTCTCCCTATACTGTACCTGATGACCTTATTAGTCACCAAGTTCATTAAGGCTAAACAAAAATTCCATGTTTTGTCTTAAATGTAAATTTGCTAATAACCTTGAAATTCACTTGTGTGCCTTGTGTTTGTTGAGTTGATAGAATAATGTTTGCTTTTCATTTGACTATTTTTTGGTTTCTCAATTTGTAAAATATAGTACTTTACTATAGTATTTTCATATTCTAAGAAGATAACTTTCAAGATTTTTTTTCAAGATTCCATTGCAAGTTGTACCATGACAGGAGTTCCTTACCTTGTTAAATGAGTGCTTACCCTGCTGCTCACTAATGCCATCAACAGCAAATAAATTTAAGTTTAGTAACCCTCTTGTCATCATGTGTTTCAACTTGGTGATCTCATTGACTTCATCTTCCCGGGTTATTATTAAGTTATCTCTTTAAGGCTTCATGTGTCTTGGCTGTAACTAAATGAGGTTATTAATTCTAAGGTAAATTCTCTGACATTAATGTTGTGCTCAGTTCCTTGTGTATTACTTCATCTGTCTTTTGAACAGTAATATGTAGGTGCCTACTTCTAGTTATTCCACAGGATTATTTAAATGTCTAAATTATTACTTCCTTTATAATATTCCTACAGCTTATTTTTGGTGTTCCCCATTATGCATATATTAGTGTGTAGTTGGAGGTTTATACAGGAAGCTTTTAATGGTTGCTTCTTTAATCGGATTTTAAGAAATTATGGATAAATGTCATTATCATGGTGCAATAAGTTGTGACCTGGAGGTGAACATAACTGTCATTGGCAGATCTATTATGTTTCTTATCTTAAGAGGAGCACAAGATGATCCTTGTAGTACTGTAATATGTTAGACCCACCATGAAAATTTAAAGTTTTCACTTTCAGTACAGTACTGTACCTCATATTGTATTGCACTGCATATCTTGGCAGTAGAGTACAGTACCTTGTACACTACTGTATATTTTGATTCTTAAATTGGCATTAGCGTGTAATCATGAAAACTGTGTAGATATTAAGAGAGATATGATTAGAAATTCACATTTACTTCTTGATCTGTTTTATATATATATATATATATATATATATATATATATATATATATATATATATATATATATATATATATATATATATATATATATATATATATATATATATATATATATATATATATATACAGTATATAAATATGTATGTATGTATAAGGGAAACAGATGCACAATGGGGCATTAATGAATCTTTGACTTTTGGTGTTTGTCCTTGTGTGTGGCTGTGACAGACAGTGGTTTCCCTGGGCCCGTGTGTGGTCTCCTCTGTCACGCTTAGTTCACGGCCGTGTACACAGGCCATGGTGGTATGTAGGGTTGGAAGACGTAGCTGCCCATAAATGGGTGATTAACCTAGACATTCATTTTGTGCTAAATGCACTAAACTTTTCCCTTTCATCCAGAGTGAATCACTCACTGCCAGTGACCTAACCCAGAGTACCATAAAGTAGGGTGAGATACACAAGTCTTACAGCAGCCACGACTTGGCTTTCTTCCTCACACAGAGGAAATGCTTCCCCCCCCCCCCCTGTGGCTTTGACCCCTTTTTTTGGAAGGTTTTACTGATATTAAAAAAAAAAGTGCTTATTCTAAAATGTTTTGATGACTTTGTTTATATTTATGGAAAAAGGAACTTACATTACAAAAACTTGTTTTTTTTTCTTGCATAAAAATATGGTACTTTTTATTGAGAAAAAAAATAGAGGCTAAGAGAATTTTGAATCTTTGGCATTTTTTCACAACAGTTCTGTATATTCATACCCTCTTAGGATTAACAAAATTATACAATTAAAAAGAACTATTGTTGGATAACTTTTAAGTAATTCCATATACAATTAATGACTTTTTACAACATTGTGGGAGTATAACTTGTCTAGGATATTTGATGCATTGATCCTCGAGTTATTTAAGGCATTGCAATGTAACGCATGAAGAACTTTATGTAATGTGGAAGTTCCTAATTTCCATCGTGGTTGAAGTGAATACATGGCAGTCATTATTACAAGCATGTCAGCTTGATCCTTTTGTCCTTAGTTTAGTGGTACTTGTATAGTGTATATATTCTAACAAGCACAGAGTAGCCATATAAAAAGACTGTATATGGGAGTACCAGTGCAGACTGTGAACATTTTTAATGGAGAAAAAAAATATATGATTTAGAAGAGAGTGGAAGGAGGAAGAGGGGAAGAACAGGAAGTAGATGAAAGGAATGGGAATAGCATCCAGGTAGGTGATAAAGAGAGGTGCACAACATCAAGCAATTTATAGGGATGACACAGTGAAAAGGAGTGAAGGGATAAGGAAATGAAGTGAATCTGTGGTTGCTGTGACGACTGTGTGGTGTACCAGGAGGGTGAACACGAATTTATAGTAAAAGGGAACTTTCCAATATTCCGTATGCAAGTTGAGAATATGATCAAATACTGTATGTGTGAAGTACGTCTATTTGTCTTGTTGCTCTTTACACTTTCTTTGCACCAATCGCCCTGACTACTGTATACTCTTTAAGCGCTTCTCTTTGAGATTTCTGAACTGTGACACAAACTGGGAGAGGAATAAAGGTATGAGTGTACAGTATATCAGGAGCTGCTGGGGTGAACAAGACAAGCAAAAAGAATGGCTTGAGATGTTATTATTATATCTGAAGTCACGATAATTCACGGGCTAGGTACCATAATGCATTGTGATTCATCAAATAGTGAATTATAGTTTAATTGACTTCAATGGAAATAGCTTCCGGAAGCCAAAAAAAAAAAACTGTTCTTAACCTACTTTAATAATCATCCTCTGGGTGACACCGAAGCATCAACACACTGAGACAGGGTTGGTAGCCACCTGACAACTATTGGAACTGGCAAAAATACCCAACAAGTCTATGAACCCAGTGTAAACATTGTCAGCCATCCAAATGTATGCATCTTGTGATTTTGCACATACTGTACATGTACTGTTCATACAGGATATTATCAAAATAATTAATAGCGCAACTAATAAAGATTTTAGTTTCTGTAAAATTGAAAGACTCGCTGTTTTACCCTTCTCTTCACTGGATTTAGCACTCACTTTAGGTATGGTGACAGTGATATACAGTACTGTATATGCATACATATACTAGAAAACCTGGGAGACGACAACAATGTGTGGTGAGGTGTGGCAGGAAACTGACTGATCGCACCAAAACAAAGATGTGAGCCCACGTGGACATTACCGGAACTACTCTCATCTAGCACAAAGTCTCTGCTAGCTGGAGAGGCTAATACAGTTCCGGCACATATTTGTTTTGCTAAATCGAACTTGAGTTAAAAGGAATTTCGTTATAAGGAATTATTTCTGTACATACCAGGGTGATGGGTAATTCTTAGTTTGGAACTTCTATAATCTGAGATATCACTGAGTTAAAATGGATGGGTGAAAAAGAGTGAAAGAAGTGATGGTTTTTGCTCGTGTTTCTGGCCAGAGAGAGAGAGAGAGAGAGAGATCAGAAAATGTCCTTCTTTTTGTCTTCATAGTTTGGTAAAAAACCTTAAGGCAATAGTAGTTTGTTTTCAGTAATTTTAGCTTCAATTCATTAATATTATACAGTATATAACAAGGATTTCATACACTTATGTTTGTGAAACTTCATAATGTAGCTATTATGGGGATCTGTGCATTTCATGGAGTGGAAGAGGGTTGTTTAGTCATTATTTGAGATCCATTTATGTATGTATAATGATTAACCATGATACTTGGTAATTTGTTTGAGGAAGGCTGATAGATTGGGATACATGTGGAAAAGGTTACTATGAATTAGATCAAGAGGATGTGAGGTACTGGTCCCTGTAAACATACTTTTATATGGCTACTAAGTATAATATATTTTTCTCCACAATAACCAAGAATAGATGAACCTTGTGTATATTTATCAGTATAATTTATTCCTTACTTGTATTTACAGCATCTACCTATCCTGATATAGATTAGACGTGTGTGTGTGTGTAAGGTTGATGGCTTTTACCCTTTACTAATCCTATGAGATTCATTGCACTCTTATGAGATGTACTCCTTGTGTACTTTTAACAACCTCACCTAAAATACGAAGGTTAATACCAACTCTCTGAAAGGTGTTCCTCCTCTTCTCAATGATTTTTAACTTTTTAGGTGAATACTGTACAAATTTCCCTTCACTATGCACAACTTGTCTTTTTTGTGTAATTCTTTTGCAGGGTGTAATCAAGGAGTAGACTAGTCTATGTTTATTTTTCTTCTACATGACTCACTCTTTAATTCTGGGAGCAGTTTTGGCTCATTTTAAGAAAGTATCCTTGTCACGGGCATGTGTTGTGGCAGATCACAAGTGCCACCTAGATTACATCCTGTTATTCATGTCAAAGATTTGTTTTATGACTGCAGTGTTTACCTCGCATTACCCTATACTTATTAATTGCTGTATATAATTTCCCAATTAATAAATAACATATCTGAGCTTCTTCAGGCATAACTGGCATGAAGAACATAATATTGTTTGTGACTGGACATGGAATTTGTAAGTCAAATGCCTAAACATCTAGTGCAGGGGGCTGTCTAGCTTATGTAAACATGGTCCTTTGATATTAGTTATCAGTTGTATTCTCACTGACAAAAAATGATGAATGCAATAACATGATAATCCTCCGTTTATTTGTATTAATGCTTGTATGAGTAATGACAAGTAACATTAAAACTGCTTGCTGTATTAATATAATTATGAACAAATTTTATAAAAAATATATAAAGCTTTTACAAATGTAGAAGTTATTTTGTGATGTTTATATTTTTTATTGTATATTACAACCAGTAAGCAAATTGTGTTAGTTTTTATATAGTTAGTTTAAATTTTGAAAGACAACTTCTTGTATCTTAATGTAGGTCATGTTTTATTTTAGCTAGATGGGAAGTTAAAGCCCTTACATGTATACACACGCACACACAAAATATACTCTTGAATGACAACTCATTAATAGACACATGGATGTGTATGTATGTACACGATTAAATATACAATACGTATACACATAGTCAGCCATATGCAGTGAGAGGCATGCACATCACTGGACCTTCACATCAACACCACAGTCATACATGTCTGCATTTATAGGCCTTTTTACTTTAAAACAAGATTACATGCATATTTTTATTTCAATTTCATCACTTGACTTTAGAAGCAACAAAGACAAGGGAGCTGGTGCCACCGTTATAGCTTCAGCTTCTACATTAACAACAAAAATCACAGTTTTCTTTAAGGTGTTCCCGTCATAACGTATCCATTGTGTGTCTTAGGAGTCTTGGTTCTATATGGTCAAATGTTTTTAAGTGAGTGTAGGTAGCACATGTGTGTTGGTTGTGAGTGGGTGTCCAATTGGTGCTGTTGGATTGAACTGGAATGGCATCTTGTACAATATAATTATTTAGACTGATGTGGCTCAGGTTTTGAAAGTCGTAGCTCTCTTGAAATGGCGCCTGATGAACAGATTTAGATTAAAATCATTAACTAGCGCACAGGTTCATCTGATTCTTTGCTAGTACCCTGTACAGTATTTGGTGTTTTGCAGATATACAGTATGTTAGATAGCTAAGGCATTCTGCAACGAATATTTATTTTTTTTATCTGTTGTGGCAATTAAAAATATAAGTCTTTAGATTAGCAGATGAGAAGGAAAGTAAAAAAAAAAAATAGGGAATTACGATATTATGGAAAAATGGTTAGTCACCAGAAACGGTGCTTGTGACTGACAGATCAGTAATTAGATAGTACAGTAGATATGTTCAATTGGATACTGTGTGGGTGATACATGTTTGTGGTGAGGCTGTCAGAATTAGCTAGACTAGTAACAAGTGGAGGTGTAATTATGCTCTTTAACATGTTATAAAGAACATGTAAAAGGACTAAATAATATGAAAAACAAGGTTCAGTAGCAAGAAAGAAAGATGAAAGCAACTTGTGAAATGTAAATAAAAAAGAACAGGTAAAAGCCTAATGTTTTTAAAGAATAACCATGACGAGATAAGCAAACTATTTGTCAGAATATTTCATATTGTCAATTGAGGCAATTAGTGTACAGTATAGTGCTGGCTGGCCGAGACCATAATGTGGTAATGGGTAAGAAATTTTTATTCTAGGTGTACAGTAAATAGAAGCAATGCTAACTAGGAAAAAGTGGAATTGGCGAGAAGATTGTTTTTGTATTGGTTACCTTATTTTTATAGACATTATGTACTCAAGATGGAAGATGTAATGGATTTTAAGGTCATTTGCTTGTGTACTGTGCCATGGGAAGTTTGTTTTCATAGTTCATCAGTTTATGGAGTAAATCTTCACATTTTGTTGAACAGGAAGTTAAGTACAGAATATCCTTGATTTTGAGGAGAGGAAGGAACCAGTGTGAGAGACCAGTACAGTTGCAAGAAGAGTGTTTAGTATTTCTGTAAAACATTCTTGTGAAATAGAAAAATCTAGAGTTGTAACTTATGAGGAGACTAAAGATGTGTTAATTGTGATGGGCTATATTATATGGAAGGTGTATTTGATGAGTCCGGATGATGATGTTGAAGGAATGGATTCAGGAGTATATGGGTATTGGAACTGTATTTTGACATAAATAATCAACAGTATTAGGTTAAGGTGTGTGAACATATGTGGAGCCAACACATGATGTAGAGTGTGGGGACATGTTAGGAGAGGACCCAGTATGGAAGAACACTGTACCAGGCACACTCTCCCCACAGAGTATCGGCTCCTTTTTTCATTGATACAATGTGTCACAGTGGACGAATATTTCCGATCACTAAAGTCACGAAATGTGATTCCTGCACTATGTTGGTAGGCCTGCCTTCCTAGTATCTGTGAGGTTGCCAGTTATTATTTCTGGCATTTGTTGTAATTATGGTGAATCACCGTGCTCTATCTTTAAAAGAATAATATGATGATATTAATGTAGTGAAAATATATTAACGGTAGTCAAATAGAGGGTGTTTACAGCTGGAAATCCACGGGAGGATTTGACTACATCGTCTCATATTGTGTATCAGATATGTTCCGTTGCCAGCACGAATCATGAGATGAAACGTTATATTCATAATTGTTACTTTGTCAATAGAGGTAGAAATAATATCAAAATGCAGTAAATCATAATGTCATTGAATATGGCATCATATTACACCTGTAATTACTGTATTTGCAAATGAATGTAATATCGGATCATAGTTTTTCATATTTTGTTTGAAGTGATGCCATTGTAACCTGGGTTCATGAAAACATAGTAACGTTATTCTGTATTCCTATTTGGCAACTCGTTCCCTGGGGCTGAAATAGTATCTGAGGTTCATAAGTCAGCGGGGATACTCGTGACGTTATTGGTTTTGCGTATGATGTCACAATTCGTCCTATTTCATTACATTGTGTAGAGAATAGTTGGTATACTGCAGATATCATGGTGATTATCAGGTGCTAGAAGAAGGAATGAAAGGTGCAACTCAAAATCAGAAACACCAACCAAACTGAGACTGCTGTACACTTGTTATTGTGTTCATTTCCAAATACAGCAGGGCCAGGGGGGTCGATACTTTTGGGGAGAGTGTACATAGAAGAATGCTGCATATGTTATCCAAATGGTCCCATGAATTAATTATTTACTGAAAGTGTCCATAAGAACTTGAAAATTATGGAGAATTGAATATACACTACAACAGTTTGAAACATTTATATCTGCACAACTGCACATGACAGTCATCTTAAGGGCATTTTTTTTTTATATAGTTCACTCATTTGAACCATATTCCATTGTAATACAGGATTGTGAGCACACACACACACACTACATATGCCCACTGTCTTTTCTTCACTGGGTTCATAGTTTACAAGTAAACTAAAAATATGTGAGTGTGTATGTATGTGCTGCTGCATTACTACTACAATTATATTCAGAAAGAGTGAAACAGTATTTGTTATATATCAACAAGAACATCATCATTAGACACTCGAGGAAATTATTATTACCGTATTATATGTATATATGTATATATATATATATATATATATATATATATATATATATATATATATATATATATATATATATATATATATATATATATATATATATATATATATATATATATATATATATATTATTTTTGTTTTTGTTTTTAGAGATTCCCAAGTAAATTAGTGAACACATTAATTCTCAGTATTAGTTATACAATAGTTTAGTTTGGACTGCATATTAGATTTGCATTGAACATTATGAGAATAATCAGTCATGTTTCAGTTTTGGGGTCATTGATAACTATGAAAGAAACATCATACTTTCTTGATGGCTTGAGAAATTAAATGTATTTTTGCTATCGCAGTAATAATAATATAATCAGGTTAGGGATAATATCTTTTTTTTTTTTGTTAATCAGCCGGAGTCCTACTTTTCAAAGTGTATTAGCTTAGCTTTTAGAAGCTGAAGTCAGTGATGATAACTAATGGGACCTGAGACAGACTCTACCTCTTGAGAGCTGCTGGTCTGTTGCTGGCATTGGTTGTTTGCATGAGTGGCCATGTGTGGTAGGAAAGCTAAGGAGTGGCGTCCATTTACAGGGGGCACAGCGATCGTCTTTCTGACTTGGACGTGGACATGACCTACTCCTCGCAGTATGTTAAGATCTGTACTTGCATTTATGACTAGATTTCATAACCAGCCTTGAGATCACCTTTATCTACAGCTCTGATGACAGCTGAAGTAAATTTTTGTGGCAGATATGAAGATTCTTAAGAATTGGTTTTATGTGTGTGAAGAAAACATCATAAGAATTTAAATTACCTGTATTTTTATGAGAATTTGAGAACAAAATTTAATATTTATCTTTATATAATAGCAATTTTTTGAAGAATTGGCAGGTCTTACAATTGGCAGTTGTACACGAATACTACAGTATTTGTATAAACTACTGGAATCATTTATATATTCTTTTTTTTTTCTGTCAATGATATTACAGTAGTACAGTGTGGTGATCTCATGAATGGCTCAATAGAAGCTTGAGCATTAATGATCCTGGAAAGGCAACTATTGGAAAACATTTGGTTGAAAGAGGCTGAAATACTTTTTGCTATAATTGTACATGATTATGAATTTAAACTGAAGGCACTTTACACATTTACTCTCAGATTACACGTTTTTTTATACAAGTTATTGATTACTTATGACTGATGAATCTTTAAGGCAAATTTGGCTTTCAATATTGCATGCAAAAGATCCAAAACAGATGTTTGTTATCTTACTTGAATGATGCAATGAGTATTGTGGCTACATTTGGAGAGCCAAATCTTGCATTTAAAGCATGATAGTGCATGTATATTTTTTACTTAACTATTTAGTGTTATATTTTTTTAAGCACCACCACATACCAGACACCCAACACTATTACAGAAAACTTAATCTAGATTATTCTGTGAGCTGTTATATAATCAAGGTACAGTATATATCCTCTTGCTGGATCTTCAGAAAATAGTGTACCTGTACCAGCAGAGGTTGATGTGGTCTACTTCAACATAGGGTAATGTAATGTGACTAAACGTGTGGCATTGATTAGGAAGAAGGGTTTTAAAAAGTGGTACAGTATAGTAGTATGTGAGGAAATGGTTATGGTCATGATAGTAAACATTTCCTGAGACATTAGAGGCTACAAATATAACTCACTCTATCTCTCTCTCTCTCTCCTTCCTCCTCCTCCTCTGTATCTCTCATGGATCAATACCATGGGTGATGACTGTAGCCCAGGTGACACTTGCTAGTTACTGAGGATCTCCTATTAACGTAAAGTTTATTCCTGTGTAATAAGAAAATTCAGTTTCTCAGTGCTTGTAAGATGACAGAACACTTCACCTTGTCATTCAAACTCACTGTCGTCTTCCCTGTTTTACGGCCATTTACTGTGCTAGTGTAGGTCAGTCGTGAGTACCTGATGCTGTTAGACAAGAGTGAAGAAAATTTTACAGCTGCATGCCCTTCCTATCACCAACCCTCTTTTACTTGTTTAAAAAAAAAAAAAAAAAAATTCAAGTAAAATTAATACAGTCACAGTTAAAATTTTTGTTGACTGAGTGAAAGGTAGTACTGTTAACCGTTTCGATTGTATGAGCTGTGTCTACCTCCCCAGTCCATAATTAAACTAAAAATAAAGTACAGTACTATAAAAAATGGAAGTCCGAGTGACAGACAGGAGTTGCTCTCACCGACTGTTTTATATTCAAAGTAAATCGGTATGAAGCAGTGTGCATAGTGTACAAATCATGTTCACTTTATCTTGCTCCACTTATTTTAAGGCCATTGTATGGATGTTTTTAAATATTTTGTACTCCTTTCCCTCCCATGCTGAGTAGGACCAGAATTTGAATATAAAATTAAATAGAATCCTGTTTATAGCCGATACAGTATATTAATATTTGCTTATTCATCATTAAAGATATAACTATTTTTATTGTTCTTCATATTAAATTGTTGTTTTCATTTCTGTATCCCTTAGTACTTCCTTTCCATCCCTCATAAGATCACTACCTCGTAAATTTGCCTCTCCGTCACACGTAAGGTTGGTGGGAGAGGTTCAAGAGATAGTAATTAGCTAAGTAAAAGTACATAGTGACAGTGCATCTACAGTTATCTTCCATCTCTTAAACTGTTGTCTAGAACTTTCAAACACAAAGTACTGTACATCCTTCACATTGTAAGCATCTCAGAATTTTACAGATTTTCTCATGTTTATTCACTTGTATGTACAGTATTTTGTGTGTCCATCTTCATTTAATTTTTTTAATAAAAATTGTAAGTTCCTATACGATTTTAGGGTAGGATATAGTTTTACAACGTGGATATTTTGTTTAGGTCTGTAAATGAGGTGTTTCCATATCTGAGTATGGTGTAGAGCGATAAAGTAATACTCAATGCATTATTTTTTATGTTTTGTTCTTACATTTACTGTACAGATAAATAAGACAGTTAGGATGTGATCTGAGTGTTAGTTTGTAGTTTAGTTCCATCTGTTGAAAATTTATTTTGAAAAATTGTTTTCAAACAAAATCAGTTTTTACCTCTTTCAGCTTGAATTTTACCTTTGAAGAATGTTTTTAATTACTTGCCTTGAGTAAGGAATTGATTTGTGTAGTGTGTAGTAGCACATTTTAATTGATAACCCATTTATTGTATATACTGTAGTTTAGTGCAGTGATGTGTCCTATTTACTAACATATTTTGGTATGCATTTAACGCATTGGCAGCAAAGGTTTAATGCATGGTACACTTAGGTAGCACTGCATGGCAGTATGAGCTGCACTGGGTATTCCATTGTGTACTTGAAGCACTTTCTCTTATACTTCTTAAGAAGTTAGGGAATCTTTCATGCCTTCAGTCAAATGATGTAGAAGAACATGAAAGCATTTTGAATAATTTTTCCTAATAAATTACTTTATATATCAACATTTCAACAATGAAAGTAAGTATTATGATTTTAACTATTTCACTTTTAGTTTCTACTGTTTTATTATTAAACATTGTATGTACTGTATTGGTTATGCATACTGTACAGTATTAGCTCAGCTGGCTAAGGTGAGCTTATTTGACAACTGTACAGCCAGTCCAAAGAGTATCAAGGTCCCAGGCAATATGAAGACCAACTCAATCCATACATGAATGCTTCTTGAGGTTATCGCTCCTCTTCTATTCCACCTTTCGAGGTCTTGTTACCTTTTGGATTGGCTGTACATCCCTCCTGTTATCATTCGTCTCCTGAATTACTGGTCTATGTTAAGACAAACATATGGATGTTTCTTATAACAGAGACTTCGTATGATCTTTTGGGTGATATAAAAATTAATAATAATAGTAGAATTTTGTAGGTAATTTTCTCAGTGTGTTTAGTTTCTATTGCTGCCAGGTTTTAAAACCCTGCTACTTCTTCAGGAATACTTATCTGGTTAATGTAAAAAAATTGGTAGACATTAGGATGTAGGTATGTCTGGCAGTTTAATTTTCTTTGACTTATTTCATAACAAATCTGATGGTCATAAACATACATTTGAAGACAATAACACCCAATTCAGTTTGTTATTTAACTTGAAACAACAAGCCAATGAAAGTGAAAGTTGTGGTATTATATTTTTCTAAAAGTGTTCCTCATAATAGCTTGGAATCGTAGGTCATTTAGTTTAGACAATTTCTATGTAGCTAATTTATTGTTTTGGTATACAGAAGTGATATAATATATCTTTGCATGTTATATGCTGTTTACAGTACAGTATTGCAGGATTCATCCAGGGCATGTTCCTAGCCTTTATCATCCATCAGGTGTTCAGGAACCTAAGTCTGTTTTATACACAGAGCTGCTCTTTTAATGAATTAAGTATTGTTGTTTTGTGGTCCTCCTGACAGTCATTTTGGCTTCTATAACACTTGATATAGAAATTTATTTTTGACATAAGAAACTTAGAACCCATAGTTGCCAAAGTTGATACTGTAGACTTTATTGCTGGACTGGGTTAGTTCAGATTGATTCAAAAGAGGTACAGTATATAACATAAAACAAAAGTGCAAGTTTTAATTCAGTAAACCCTGTGAGGTAATTTCATTTATTTATTTTATTTATTTATTTGTTTTCATATTACCATAATTGATGGATTTCAGCTGAGAAAACCGGCTTCCTCCAGCTCGGGGCATACAGTACAGTACAGTACACTGCAATACAGTACAGTGCAATACAGTACAGTGCAATACAATACAGTACAGTACAGTATAGTACAGTACAGTATTTGGGGTTCTTGTTATCCCCAGGTGTAATATGTTGTAAAAATTGTGTTTGTTATTATGGCAACTGATCTTACCACAGTAAGTCATTATTTCCATTAATGCTCCTAGCAGGCAGGGGCTCCCTCAGCTGAATAAAATCATCTGGCATTAGCCAGAATAAAATACCTTGCCATCTAAAGGGTTAAAGACCAAACAGTATTTTCATGTACCGTACTTACATTGTTGAACTGTAAACCATGAAAATACTTACTTTTGGTTGTTTTTAACAGGAGACGACTTCATTTATTGTTATTAACACAAATCATAAAGGTATGATTTTTTTTAGGATGCATGGGTAGAGAACTGAGCAAGCCTTGAACTTCTCTGTGGCCTTAACACTTAATGTGGAAAGGCACAAATTTACCCACATTTCTCCAGATGCCTTTTCAAATTATGCTTCCTTTTTATTAAATTTTTGTTAAAAGACTGAATAATTTTTCAGAATGTACTGTCCCTCAAATTGGCACATTCTTTTATTTCTAGGCCGTTTGTTAGCAATGCTTGTTGCTTATTACTGTACTGTACTGTCTTATGTTTCTAGCAGTTCATTTTCAACTTGAGTAAAGGTGCATATCATAATATTTTATTTATCATTATTATTTTTTAAGATTAATGTTTTCCGAGTGATCGCCTAAAATTTGGTTAGATTATGGGTGTTTTTAATTCGGCTTTTTATTAACGTTATTGCATTGTAATATTGAGTTTACAGCAAATGTTCTTTTTATTTTATATTAACCTGCCGTGAATGTCTGGTGAAGTGAGTAGGACTTGGTGACCATGACGTGAGTTATATTATAATGCTGTCGGCATTATCAGTTTTCAACGAGTGTGATGCAAACTTTATGGCATTTTGTAGATTAAATAGGTTTCAGAATGTCAGCATAAAAAGAAAATACTATATGGGTGTATTTAGTACTTGTTAAAGTTTTGCTGGTAGGCGCGTTACAATGGTATTTAGACTATAAGGGGACGTTAATGGAAATTTGACTGAGGATTGGAAATAAATTTATAATATCCCTGTTATGGGTCCTGTCGTTGAATTCAGACGGCAGGGGCATACATTATATTTTCTTGTCACAAAATTGTAATTCAAAACTGTCAAAGTTTCTTAACTCCTTGTGTATGGGGTTCCCTCTGTGCTGAATAAAATGGTCTGGCATTAGCCAAATAAAATGTTAAAAGTGGCGTCCCCATAGTGAAGGGGTTAATGAAACTTACGTCAGTACAGTTGATCACCAGAAGTGCTTTTTGAGATATGACTGTCATGGTCACAGTAGTAACCACTTACATGCTACTTGATATATTTTGGGCTCCAAATTTCATGAGGGACATTTGTAAGACTTAAGGTGTTTGGTCCCTTCATGATTAGTATTTTATGGTTAGGTGCTTAAAGGAGTTAAACTACTACTTTTCCATGTGATGGCTCCTAAGCCATGGGAATTACATTAATGAAACCTTGCAAAAAATATATTGCTAGTCACTTAAAATTTTGCAATTTGAGTATATGACCTTCAGTAAAACAAAATATAAAGGCTGCACCGATAACTTGAAAAATAGGTTTCATCACTTCATATGTGTTCACAGGAGTTATGACTCAAGAGGACGGAGAGCAAGTGTTGGCAGTACTGCACCGTACTTTCATTTTTTTCTTGTAGTAAACATGGAACACTTACAGTAACCATGGAACTTAATAGTAATACTGTATTGTGAATGTGGATCACTTCTGTAAAACTCATTGGTTTTTATGGTAACTGTCAGACATAAATAGTGACAAGGACAATATTGATTATAATATGAAACACCTAACAGTGCTTTGCTTACTTTGAGCTCAAGGTAAAGAGATTGTTTCTGTTTGATGGAGCACTCATCAAACAGATACTTCTGCCATTCCTTTTCATCAAACCTAAGCAGGGAAGTAGAAGTATGTCTACTTAAGTGAAGATGAAACAGTTAATGGAAACTTGAAACATACTGTATACCATTAACTCTGAAGCTTATACATAAGTACTTTGAATTTGGAAATCATGTGAATTATAAAGAGAAATAAACAATTATATTGTTGTAGAATTATCTAAATTGTTCAGCAGAATTTTCTCTACATGAATAGTCACTATTAGTAGCTTCAGTAAACCTATAGTTTATAGATGAGTATAACTTTGACTCTTGACAGGGCACAGTATGTGGTTGTTGGTCCCTAAGCTTCAAACTTTAAGGGCTACCTGGCCCTTGATTGAAGTTCATAATTTTGTACCCTGTACTGGGACGCACACATACACAGTAATTAAAATACTGGTAACCAATATTGTTAAAGGGAGCTACAGTAGTTCAGTAGTTAAGGTTTTTTTTTTTTTTTTTACAGTATATTTAACCCAATAGGTTTCACATTGTTGACTGATTGTGAAGATTATTACTTTGCTTACTGCCTGCCCTGTTAGACCTTTGTTCTATTTCTTGGTGATGGCTGTGTGCTTAGATATAACCTTAATAACAAGAGGTATACCAGACATGTTTAGAGATCTACTGTACAGTATGTATAGGTATTGTTGTGCCAGTGCTCGTTATCCGTTATACAACATAGAGAAGCTGCCACTGGTGTTGCTGAGGATGCATGCAAGTTGCGGTGATGGTTTCTTGTTTTGGCAGCACCTTATAAAGAGCTGTAATATAGTTCTGGCTTTTCAGTTGGGATTTCTAGAGATGCATGACCTCTGAAGAAGTATAAGTGATAGATCAGCAGCATCGTATGTGAAAACTGTTTAGGAGTGGAATGTTGACTCATGAACTGTAAAGCTATCCAGTATCTTGACCTATAAACTATGGGTACATCTGCTGATCTTGTCACACAAGGGGTTGGTAGCACAAACTTGACTGACATTGCATTAAGTCTGTAATACCATTGCCTACTACAGTATTTGGATCTTAGTTAATTAGGATTTTTTTCTTTAATGGCATCATCTAATGTTTGTTTAATAAGTTTTTATTAACAGTGAATTAAGTTTTGAATATACTGTACAGCAGATGATAGTCTAGAGTATAATTAACTACTTTCCAAATAACAGAGGTCAGTCTGTATGGGAAACTGTACTGCCAGTTTTTGATAATGGACAGTAGTAGTGATGGTGTTAGAGTTGACAATGCCATTCCTAGCATCCCAAGTGCCAGTGGGAAGTATATAAGCAATTGTATTATTAAATTGCTTAGATAACTCTCTGATTTCACTCACTGCCTTGAGACTACTGCTAAAATTTGCACAAAATCAGTTGTTTCAAACAAATTGAAATAAACCAACTAAGTAATTGTATCAAGTGTTTTATGTTGTCAGATCTATAAAGGTCTTGTGCAGTGGTAAGTAAAGGCAGAGTTTGTGGTGCTTTGGGGCTGAGGTGAAGTTGGGTGCAGTAAGATGTATTGTAGCTAATACTTGTCTGTGGTTTCCCTCAGAGCAACCTTACCGGTGGGTATGGACGAAACCTCTCTCAGTGAAGCTAGTCAGGCCCTGGATGAGGCCAATCACAACAGGTTTGTTTTGTTATATTATTATCCAAGGAGCTGTTTGAAGTATCAGAACATGTTTAATTCTGTAGTATTTTATTGTCTTAATATTTTTATGATAAACAATGGATTGAATGTAAAAAGTCAATATAATTGTGCAATAGCTTTGTTGAGTAAATGCATTCTTTTGTTTGTTTACAATTGTTTTCTGTCTTACGTTTTAATTTTAATTTTTGCTGCTCTCTACGCCTCACTTTACCTCTTGCCTATGTCGTCTTCATTCACTTCGCACTTGTCCTTAGTTCCTCGGTGATTGATCGTTGACTTGTGTGATGATGAACATCCAAGCTGTACAGTATTGTGCAGCAAGTGTTTCAAGTGATACAGTAGCCTTCAGCTCTCGTGTAGTGTTGTTGTTAATACAGGGAGTCCCCGGGTTATGTTCCTGAGGACGTTCTTAAGTCGGGTTTTTTTACGTAAGTCGGAACACATGCTATGCGCATTCCATACTTTCAGAACAATGTTTAAAATCCCACTATATCATAGCCTAAGTCCTTATATACATCTAAAATCACTTAATTTATAACTAAAGAAGAAATAGAATGACAAAATACAGTACCCAGGTACTCCTCGACTTACGACCTACTTGACTTATGACAACCCGGTCATACGACGGCCATGGTCGTATAAAATATTTGTCAAATTATGTATTTCCGAGTTCCGACGTTAGTGATCGCGCTGTGTACTGACAGAATTTTTGTTTGTAATTCCTTTAAAATGGCCGGCAAGCGTAAAAGTGAGAGTTCTCGTGGTGCTGAGAAGAAAAAGAGACACCCATTTTAGATTTTCTATGTATTATTTTTGCATTTTTGACTTACGACCTGGTCGTCGGTCCCTAACCCCGTCGTAAGTTGAGGACTGACTGTAAATGAAAACAAAATATAAGTCATCAGGTAAATAAAATGCTGTACTGTAAATTCAAGTTTAACCTCGTTCATATCAGTGGGCATTCGTAAGTAAGACATTCGTAAGTCGGGGACCCCCTGTAAAGGATTGGCATTCGTCATCCTACTGTAAATGGACAGATGTAGTAGTGTACTATACTGTACATGAATTTTTGTCTTTTTCTTTCTATTAGATAATTTTATAAACCGCTTTATTGTAAATGTTAACCATACTTTAGCAGGTACAGCCAGTCATCACCAGGTCGAGAGCGGGGACATGCACGAAGACATTCCAGTGCAGATGCCCACCACGAGGAGGGAGAGGAGTTGACGGATCGAACGGCCACGTTGACGTTAACATCGGCGACGGCTCGAGCTCGTGCGCAGAGTGATAGTCAGCACGACCGCAGGCGAGACGGTGAGTACACTTCCTTGTGCAGTACAGTGGTCCCTCGGTTAACGAGCATAATTCGTTCCAGAAGGTTGCTCTTTAACCGAAAAATTCGTTAACCGAAATCATTGTTTCAATGGGTTTTTGGGTAATTGGTTCCAGATCACCGAAAATTACATACAAACTAAAAATAAATGCAGTAAAGTACACTTACTTTGAGGTGTGCATGTAGAAGGCTCCTGGTTGAGGACGATGATGATGATGATGATGATGATGATGATGGGAATTAGAATGGGGGTGGAGGAGAAGGGAGAAGAGAAGGCATTGGGGTGGAAGAGAAGTCACCCCATGCTGCCATTTCACCCATAAAATTTTAGTTCACTTGGTGTCATTCAAGATTATTTTCTTTAAATCAACATTGCACTGCATTATATATTATCAATATGTAAAATATATTTCAAAATTACCAATAATTTGACTGGAAACACAGAAAAAAAGCTCTTATGTTGAAGAGTCTCAAACAAGATGTTCCTTCCTCTGAACTGGTAAACAAATTGACGCCAAGCTTGGTGTGTTGAGTGGCTGTTTGGCGTGCAAAAAACTAGTTTCCTGAACTTCAATTAGGTTCAATAATTGTTAAAATTACTAAAAGTTTAATATAAAACTTTTAAAATTATTGAATAGTACAACCTTCTTGATATTTACTAAAATGGTAAGGAATTTAAGCCCTAAAACCGATTACTGTATTGGCGGACTAATACTACAGCTGGTGGGCAGCCAAATGCAGGTGAAAACATGTTGGGAAAAATTTGTAAGGAATTCGTTAACCGAGGGTTTGCTCGTTAACTGAAGTGAAGAATCTTATGGAAGGTAATTCGTTAACCGAAATTTTGTTAACCGAGGCGCTCGTTAACCAAGGGATCACTGTACTGTTCTTTATTGATCATTCAAACATCCTTCAAAAGAAGTTGACTTACTTATTGTTGTTCCTTATTGTGTTGTGTCCATTTGTAAATATTTTTCAATCACATGATTGATGTGTTGATGTTTGATTGCTATCTACTTGGTGTGTTGCTGTATAGTTTACTGTATAGTGTGTGTGCGGGCGGGCGGGCGGGCGGGCATGCTTGAGATCCTTTGACTAAACAGTTACTTTCTGTAGCTTTAAGACTTAATGAAGATAAGCTTGGTATGTAGTGGAAGAAAGATGTTTTTATTCAGTTATCCTTGTTAAATTGATTTAATGTACAGTGTACTCAATAACTGGTAATAAATATACTGTCAGTATGAATCATCAGGGTGACATATCTGGTACTACGTCACTCACTGACTTCTCAGTATAACGCAAATGTTAAATTACATAGCAGTGTTTGTGATTTCTTTATTATTGAATGGCATTTCTTTTTCACTAATATGAATTTAATTTTGGTAGTAATACAATCTGGAATATAAGTACTGTAGAATTTTAAGTGAATTTTTTATCATAAAAACTCACTATCATCCTGTTATGTGTACAGTACAGTACTGTTATGCCGAGGCATAATTTGTATTACAATTTTGTAAACTAGGTGTTTTATTGTTTTCTATCCCAAGCAACAGTTATTTTGGCAAATTTTGTGATATTTTCGTGTATATATTGATGTTATTGATGTATTAATTATGAAAGAATATTCTAGAATGTATTGCATCAATTTTGTTATTATTTACTTATTATTGTAAGCCTCGATCAGAGTAGAACGTTCTAGAATCTCCCTGGCGTCTCTGGGTTATTCTAGGATGTTCAAGAAGCGTCTGACAAGGCGTATATAAACAGCAGCGAGCAGGCTAGGAGTTAGTTGATCGCTTCCGTTCCTGGTGTAAAGACTAAGCCTAGCAGAACAGCTGAAGACAATTGTTGTGCAAGTATTGTGGAATTGTTGTGGTTAATATAAAGTGAGAAGACTAAGGAATTGTACACTGGTAGTGTGCTGACTATATCCTTGAAGTGAGGAGTTAAGCTGTGAAGACAGTGTTTGTTAAAGAAGACTACAGTGCACAAGTGTGTTTCTGTGACCTGGTGGAAATCTACCTGCCTGTTGTTTGTCTGTACACTGATACCGATTGTCGGGAAGTTACCGGAGACTGGCGGGACAGCCAGTGGTAAATTGACAACTCTTGTGAGGTATCTACTGCTCTGTACATACGACCCTAGCCAATGGGAACCAGTGGTGGAAGCTGGGCAAGCAGTCAAAACAAGGAGGGTTGTAACAGTACTGTCATTATGTACAGTATAGCTACCCAATGATTTGATGTGATTTGTGTCACAATACACGAGAAGATCAAGTTAATTTATGGGGTTTGAACAGCTGTTCTTTTTTAGTTTAGTTTTGGGTTAATTAACGTTATCCTGTACAGATATTATATTGTATATAAATCCATGTAGTACTGTACAGCTCAATATTTCAGGAAACTGCAAATACATTAAATTTTGTGTGTGTTGTTGAAAATTACTTTGAGTCATTTTTCTGTGTAAAATTCTACCATAAGATTTGTTGTTAGGAACCAAAGAAAATGGGCAAGGAGAAGGCAGTGGTGGGGAGGAGGATGGCAGCGGAACACCACCTGTTCCTCCACGGAGAAAAGACAAACGTAGACACAACACCCCTCCAAGACCACAGTCAAATGGCCTTCCACCCACTCCCAAAGTCCATATGGGAGCTTGCTTCTCTAAGGTAAGAATTTTTCTTTTCATAGACTATAGTGTGCAGATTTGACAAGTATATTTCATATCTCAAGGTTTGTAATTATCACTTTGTAAGATTTTTTTTGTTATTTAGGTATGTTTTTTTAATACAGGTTGACAACCCTTTATCCGAAATTCCGAAAACCGAAAAGCTCTGAAAACCGAAAGTTTTTTTTTTGTGGGGCAATATATATATATATATCTTGATAAAATCACACGGGAAAATGGAAACAACGGAGTACCTTAGCTTTCGTCTTTATTCAAGACATCTTCAGAGGCAACTGGATTACATGGACAGAGAGAGGCTTAAATATATAGGGTGACCTAAAAACATGAGGTCAGGTCATAAAGATGACATCCACTAATCCACACACCAACACAAACGTAGAGGAGCTTAAGAGAAGGGTGGTGACGTGACTAGCCAGGTCAGGTCAGAAAAAAGGGACCCACAAAATAACTATCATACATCTAGATCAAAGGTTTTCAAAGCATTTTTAACCTTGTGGTTATCAGCATATACCTAGATCACGCGCACCTACAGTGATTTACTTGCATATATATATATATATATGCGTGCGTGCATACAAATAAATAATAATGGGAAAATCCTCTCACAAATAATCAGAAACAAATGTATATTAATAATGTTGAGTCTACCCTCAAGTCTACTCCGTGCTTTGTTTTTAATAAAGCACGGAGTAGACTTGAGGGAAATCTCTTTTTTAATATACATTTGTTTCTGATTATTTGTGAGAGGATTTTCCCATTATTATTGATTTGTATGTGTTTTGTGTGTGTGTGTGTGATGCCATATGGCAGCAGGGTCTACCATTAGACAACACATTATGCTTCCAATATCTTCCCAAGCAGTAGTACCTCCCTGTTTGGTCATTACCTACTAAAACACAAGAGTATTTTTGTCAGGTGGTATAATAGTGAAGGACTTGTTCTGTAATGAATTTTACCAATAAATTCCAGTACAGTGCAGTACAGTATATCTACTTTTGCAGGTGTTCAATGGGTGTCCGCTACATATACATTGTACAGCTTCTTGGATACACCCAGACACCCGCGACCAACACATACTCATAGGAGCAGAAGAAGGAATATATACTTTAAACCTCAATGAACTACATGAAGCTGCCATGGAGCAGCTCTTGCCTACCAGAACTACATGGATGTTTGTCATCAAAGATGTGTTAATGTCAATATCAGGTAAGACTTTGACATTTTTATTTAATTTTTTAATGTTGATCAAAGATGTCCATTATATGATATCTTGAATCATATTAGTAAATAGTTGTTTGTAGACTTAATAATAAAAATGCATCAGTGACTGTAGACAATGTTATTTAAGTCTTGAGAATCACTTTGTACAAACTTCTGCTGATACCTTATTCACAGTCATGTCTACACTATACCATTTGTAATGCCTCAGAAGTTCCCGTCATTGGTTTTTCACATCATTGAAATTTCAACTTCATTTCTGTACCTGTAACAAGTATGATTGTCTGTACTGAGAGTTAAGTCAATCTCAGAAGCTCACACAGTGGTTCAGGAGGTTGCCAGCCCCTTGCAGGAAGCTAAAAACTACAAGAGGTGGTGTTTAAGGCCATTTTCCACGCTTATGGTTGACAGAGAGGGGTATCATATACTGTGCCTACCCAGACAATTTATAACACTGAATAATATCATAATTGAAATATTAGATAACAACTTGAACAACAGAATTAATCATCTTACCCATTTCTCCCCTGCCTGAAGGCTCTGTAACCTCACTCCCACCCACCCAACCTTGCCTTGTTCACCTGACTTAGTTAACCTTCACACCCCTTCTTGACTGTTTTTATATTTACTGTAATATAGATTGAAAAATTGCGCCAAATTCAAATTCGTCAAATGCAAATACATAAACTAATGGGAAAAATAACAATATAGACTGGCCACTCTACATCAACCTCTGATTTTCCCATTTATAACCTCCAAATGATACAAATTCTGCCTTTATTGGCCTGATTGTGCTTTCTGTAAACTAGTTTTTAGGCCTTCCTCAAGTAATTTAATCACACACTGCTAATCCTGCATCGAGTACTTGGCAAACTTAACTCCCTTATGATAGTCCTGCTTCTCCTTTTCCTTATTTGGCCGCTTTGGTGGGTCTGTCCCACCCCCACCAGCACCAGTAGGACCCCCAGTAGAGGTAGAGGCCATTATCTTGACTCGACAGGTGGAAGCACCACCCAAAAAAGCACACAATAGCAGCCCTGGTGGTCGCTAGGATGGCGCGGGCTACAACGTGATAGTTGCGTTCTTGTAAACCTCTTTTACGTTCACCACCGGCAATTCGATCACCAGAACGCTTCTTGAAAACATTCTTCTTTCCTTGTCTTTCCAGATTCATCGCTAACACAACAAAATTTGAGAAAACAGCGAAAATCTCGGAGTAATCGACAGAAACCGCGCGATTCAACTGATCACGTGATGTAAACAGAGCGCGCTGGTGTAAACTGTTCTTATTTCTCACTGCGAAACATTCTTTTTACTTATTCTTTTCATACTCTATTTATGGGTAACAGCTAAATTTGCAAAAAAAAAAGAACAAAATTTTCAGAGTACATCTCAAAAAACACTTCAAAACAAAAGACACGAATCACTTGAACATGTGATGTCGAATGTGAACTGTAAACATTGCATCACCCCACGCCACAACCATGCTTAAAACGTTGAGGATGGAATCGCGCTATAGCCAACATTCGTTTTACAAACAGCGTTCCCCTATTATCAATCGCGTTGCAACCAATTCGCGTTGACAAAACACGCTTTGTAGCAGAAATGACTGTAACTGGTATGAGGGTGCCGTGACGTCATTCAAGACGGTGGCCAGCATTCAGCTTGCTGGATATCGCTTTCAGCTGGCTGGATCTCACGAAACTCACGATATTTTATGCCAAATATAAGACTTGGTTACATTAGGTAGTGCTCGCGAAATTCAAAAATGCGAAATGTGAGATCTTACTGTACATGATTAAACACCAAAAATATGCATAAAATTGTGAATACAGTATAAGTGAAGTAGAAGGCATTTAATTAGTCAAACCTGACCTTAAAATATGTTGATGTTGATGATGATATAAGAAGCTGGTTGGGTAATGCACACTATACCTTTTCTACGCTAACCTGACCCATAAGTCACGCCCCTCTTCTATACTAATAGCTGATTGGTTCAATAAAATTCAAACTAAATGTGTTCACATTTGGTAAACAGACCTGTTATTATCTAAAATAATGTTAAATACATTAATGGATTATCAAAATGCAGATCATTTCAAGGCATTAGCTTTTCAGAGAGGATGTTATAAAATTTTAAATATTATAAAAGATTAATATATATATACGCCCTTATATACACGCAGTCTTGGGGAGGTAAAACGCTCAGGGGAACCAATCAGCTATTTGTAGCTATAGACGAGGGTTAGATGATGAACTGTATTGTGATATACAGTGCAGTATTAAAAAGTGCCGGTTATTGAAGTATTCTGGTTGTTAAAATGCCAGATTAACCAGAGTTTCCTGTACTATGTGTTCACACTTACTTCAAGAATGTGGTTCTTTGTAAACCCTATGTATCCTCTTTTACTGCTACAGTGACAGAGATGCTTCATTTTTAGATCACACTAAACACAAAGAATGGTGAATATGGTTCAATGGGATTCTGTCACCTTGAACACTTCCATAAGTTTGTCATTGAACTGTTAACACTGTTTTACAATTGGCTCATGACATGTGACACCACTGTTACTAGGCCGTGTAAACGAGGCCAACAAGATACTGTACACATGTTGTTATACCAGAGCAAGTGAGGCATGTCTCCAGTATACAGTAGGTCACATTGTCCATGGTACAACACCTATCATGCTTTACCAAAAGGTCTTCCCTGATCCACACCATGGTCCTATCCCCTCAATCATCATCCTTATGACCGTTGCCTGAGGGATGTCATCTTTTGCGCACTGTAGCTCGCATAAATTTATTTGGTATAATTTACCTGACCTTGAGGATTACTACATGGTGAAAATTATTTATCCCCTGACAGGCAAGGGGCCATACTTATATCGCCATGAATTGATTGGACTCCACAATCGGCATCTGCACAAATTTTCTTTACCCATGAATAAAATTCCAGAAAAATTTTTGCCAAGAAAATATACCATCACCACCAAGGTGAGTTAATAATGACTGTAACACTGTAAACTTGAAGGTCAAGATTATATTTACATAGTAAGTTAATATAATACAGTAGTATATTGTATAAGTGTTTGGCTAATTGTTAAAGGCAAGCAAGAAGAGATATTCAAATTAAAGATAAAAAAGATAGAGGAACCACTTTGTTGTATAGCGATCCAAATTTTCAATTTATATTAAGTTTTCATGACCTCATTTAATAGTTAATAGTTCACTAGATAATGAAGAATAGTATTTACTCTTCAGTGACATAAAAGATATTGAATAGAAACTGTATTGACAGGTTCCCGACACAAAAAGCACTCTACGATGTTGTGTGGGACGTAACCCATACAATGGCTACAAGTACCTTTGTGGCGCCACCAACTCTTCTCTGTACCTGATGCAGTGGTACGATCCACTCAACAAGTTTATGCTCCTTAAGGTTAGTTCTGCACTCGGTTTTAGTCCTCCTCGTCAGTACAGTACCCTGTATTTGGTTATGGGTTTTATGTTCACTTTACTGTAAGTTTGATCATTATAAGATATTTATGAAATATTTTGGCTATTTGTTTTGTGTTATGTGTCATAGTTACTCATTTTTTTCAGCAAAGTGAGTGCTACCTACCCCATCCCCTTAGAGTATTTGAAATGATCATAACGCCAGACTTAGAGTACCCGCTAATGTGTGTAGATGTTAACCGTAGCTACGGATCAGAAGATGTCCTTCGCCACAGCCTTATCAACCTCAACACAGGAACCACTTGGACTCCAGATGATGATGATGATATGGATGGAATGGCAACTGTTGTTCCTAGACATAATCTTAATGTCAAAAATGTGACTCAAATAGAAAAAGATGCCATTCTAGTCTGTTATGAAAGTAAGTGTTTTGTTTTCTTTATTCTGTATAGTATTATAATTCATAGGGTTTCAGAATCTATCAAGAGGATATTGTTAGGGTGGAACTCAGAAGAACAGTATGTGGCTTGTCTGCACTAGAATTACATTGCATGGGTTTATTTTATCTAATACAGTATACACTATCTCATTCTTGTATGGAGGTCACCTTTGAGGAGATGGCTATCACACAAAAGCCTGTAGGCCATCATATCACAACTTATTTCCTTTGCCCTCTCTCTCTCTCTCTTCCCCTTACCTCTCTGTTTCCCATAATATATGATAATGTGAATGAGAAAATATTTCCATTTTCATCACAGCTATCCCTTTCATATAACTCTTCACCCAATACTTGCATCAGATGTAGATAATGTTCAGCCTTCAAGTGTGAATGTTAAGGACTACAACAACCCATGTAATGCTGACTGGGTAGGAACCAAACCTCCTTATAACATTGATGGTCAGTAATTGGGAAAAGTACTCAATTATTTGTTATATGTACGGTATGTATGGACTTCAGGAATGGAACCAATAGGAATAACAAAGATCCACTGTACAACATATATTACTCTTAATATATACAGGTTGTACTCTCTAGTCATTCTGTGGTCCGGAACGGTCCGGAACGATTTTGGTTTGCCCATGGAGAAATTAATTTGAGTCTGGTACTTTCGATGTTTGGCTAAATTTTGCCTTATTTACCCTACTTTTTGGGCGAATTACTACCTGTAATAAAGCAATATCCTAATAAACCAACGAAAATAACACAGATAAAGTTAAATGAAAACTAAAAACAACACAGAAAAAGTTTATCTGTTCTACGTCTTCAGCTAGAGTTGACCCTGATGACTTGGCAACTTCATCATCCGAGTAAAAGCACACACAACAACATTGGCTGTCCTTATGTTTTCAACTTTACCACCACTGGTGGGTAGAATTTTTGTTTTAAATTCAGAAACATTAATTAAAACATATATGAACAATAATAAGTGTTGCTTTCATATTCTTATGTAGAGTAATGACGATATGTTTTCACATGTGCACACTTACATATGTGCAGTCTCACTTTTTTCTTTGCCATTAATGGTTAACTACTTTTTTTGTTCCATTTGTTAACATTAAATAACATTACTTAAAACAACCATATTAATTTTTTACATTAATTTTACTACAGCTACAACCAAGGTCTTATTTTCTTCAGTTTTATATGTAGAACCACTCAGTCACTGGTTTTGTAAACAACGAAAACAGTGCCGTCTCGTCTTCTCGTGTGTTTTAATATTCTATTTATTATTGATGAATTGTATTGTTCATTTTGCACACATAAACATTAATTCAATCAAAAAGACATTCAGTAATAAACAATAATGAATTTTTTTTACTTAAGAGAAATGACGCTGTTTACACGATTTGTGCACGTCTGAACGTTGGCAGGCCGCTCAAACCTGTCAGAATTCGAGTTTCCGCCGTCGAAATTCTAAATTGTGCGGTGTTTTTTTTGTGTGTCCAAATAAAAGACGTCGAATTAAAAACTCGCGAAATTTGAGAACCTACGGTACAACATTTAACCCTTCAATATGTCTTCTAAGAGACTATGAAGCAGTGAAAGTGGTGCTAGTGTTTCCAAGCATAAGCACAAGTCACTATCTATCCAGGAAAAGGGTGAATTTCCATGGTCCGGCACCGGTCAGGTACCGAGGTTGCTGGACTAGAGAGGTACAACCTGTATGTTTATTGTTGGATTATCATCATTGTATACACCAAAATTTTTCTTTACAAACATGTTTTATGTCATTTTAAGACATTTTGGAGATATATCTTACCTTTCATAGGAACGTATCTAAATTTTTATAATGCAGTTTGGGAAAATGTGATCTGATTTATGAAAGATCAATTTACGAAAGGCTTTTCAGGAACAGAACCTTTTTGTAAGAGAGGGAATGCTTCCTATCTTCAAAGTTCACAAGTTTCACCCCTCATATTGCACCAAAATTATGAGAGGAAAAACAATATGAAACTTTCAACACTTTCATCACTGCAGCTACTTTCTCTCTCTTTTAGCCTGTCTACCTAGTCTAAGTTTTCTGTACAGTATTTCAATGATTGTCAAGTACAGTATTAGTAATAATATGATCTGTATGTTGCACTATTACTTCATTGTAGTTAGTTGTTACATAATACAATGCACTACTTCCACCTTTTACATAACTGAATTACAGTATTACTTTGGCTTCATTAGTTTTACATTGTCCACACTCACCGGCCACTGTGAATACAACCAGGCTGATTTAAGATGACTGCTATGCAACACATACAGTAGAGATTGTTATACATTTATTTAAATGCTTGTCACTTTATTTAGCATCCTAAGATTTTTATTTCCATAAATGAGTTTACGTTCAGTAGCCTTTTACTGTATAAGTAAATCTATCATAATTGTTGTTGGAAACTCATGTCTCACCCATCACCAAGAGGTGGAACACTAATAGTACACTCAGTGCTTCTCAGTGATTAAGATATTGAGACCAGTTTTTCAGTCTCTGGTGTCTGTAGTCTCAATTTTTTGCCCGAGACCTTTCAAGGCCAGAAATTTATTTATTAATTTTCAGGTGTGTTGGGAGGGTCTGGTCAGTTGGTTAAGCTTAGGTTCAGGTTGTGGAGATGCCTCACCTCAGATCCTAGACCACTAATCCACTAGAAATGGGGATTTCCTTAGTTGTGGCCAATTTTCTTAGGCAAGGTGACCCATGTAACAGATGTGACTTCAGTTCAATTCTGGCAACTGAACAAAGCCAAGTTTCCATAACTAGTCAATATATTTCTGATCATTTTGACTGTGTCTGCCTCTAGCGCCTTGGGGAGATCATACTGAGGCCCCTTAAATGCCAAACATCAACAAATGAATTAAGTATGTTGATGTTTCATAAGGGTAATAAGTACTTCACTTGTTTTAAATGAATAGAAAATAATGTGCTTGCATGTGATCAATGAGCATGATGTAACAGCTGTAATCTCTTGAAACAAATCAGAAGTAAAATGTATATGTCTAATTGCACTTTTTTGTATCATGAAATTGAAGTTAAATACAAATAATTTGGTAGTTGGTAAATGTTTCCTTGTTTTAAGGTAACCCTGACACTGACCCATTACTGTGAATGATATATCCTGGCTTGTGTAATAGGAAGGGAAGCAGCAGCATCTCTTGCCTGGACTATTTTCATGTAGCCAGTTGTTGGTTTGGTGCTTGTGTTTACAATACTAAACATTCATTCTGGAATGTTTGGTGTTACCTGGGAAGCAAATCTTCAGGTGATGGTGGACCCTGGTAGTCACCTGCCTTGCGGTCACTTGAGCAATACAATACGCTAGGTAGGGGTCGGTAGGCTGGAGGATGTAGTGAAAGGTCAAGCAGCTGATCTCTGGAATATACAAACAAAGAAGATGGCTAAAGCTGAATATAGCTTAGATAGCTGCTGGTGTTTCATTCTCTTACTGATTAGTCAATAAAAATTACTAAATCATCTCATTGCTTCAACCTAACTACAGCAGTATCCCCGTTAGCCGGAACAATTGGTGCAGAGCATTTCCAGCTTTGAGAGTTTTCAGGGCATTGAGACAAATTCTCTTTATCACAGAAAAAAAAATCACTCATCTATGGAATTTTTTTGGGCATTGATGAATGTTTCCACATCTAAACTATGCACAGAGTTGTAAAAAGTACCGAAATTTGTTACCTAAGTAAAAGTACTGTATTGTTACATTGGCTAAATGTTACTAAGTAGAAGTATCCAAAGTTCAATGTATTCATGTACTGTAGAAGCATAAAAGTATCTCATTCATAAAGTATTCAAGTACTGAAAGTAAAAAGTAATAACAAAATTATTATTCATCTCAAATAAGTCCACAGTAAATTATAAAAAAAACTAGTTAACTAAAGATAAAAGTAAAAGACACGTAGCATTACACGTTTATTTGGTAATCTTTATATTGAGAATAATCAATAACTGATTCTCAAAATTATGGCTGTCCTATCGGGATCTGTTAGGCCTAAATATAAGCCCGGCATGACTAAACAGACGCTCACTAGCAACAGAAGTGATTGGTTAGCTTCCAAATTTGTCCCATGATTAGATATTTAAAACTATTGTGCTTACATATAACAGGTAATGATTTTAGTTTTTTCAATTGTATTGGAGTGAAAGTATTAGAAAACCATACTTGAGTAAAAGTAGAAGTGCTGAAAATTTTTAGTACTTTTTAAAAAGTAAATACCCAAGAATGTTACTTGAGTACTTTACTTCAGTTTCTTTACAACTACGCATCTGTCTTGGAACATTGTTGCAACTGAGGCTTAACTGCAGTTGGACAGACACAGAGCTCTATTTGTTTATGTAAACACTAATGTACATGTACAGTATATTGTAAATGACAAAATATACTGCTGTATACACTACTGTACTCCTCAGCAGATGTTGCCATCTTGTGATGCAGGCAGGCCTAATGTTGACGTGGTACAGGATGACTTGTCTTGTCCTTTACCATCTACTGTAGCAAGTGTCACTCTCCTCTCCCTCCATGAAGGAGGGATTGAACACACACTGTATACAGTACAGTAATACCTCAGTTTACACGGTTCCATATTTACGCAGTCCCCGCCAGAACCGGAATGCCCATTTTACGCGGTGCATCTTCTCATATACGCGGGTGAAGTATAATTTTTTACTTAGCTCATAAAATTCATACAAATTACCCGGCCAGAATATAATTTACATTGCTGGAATTCTTACAATATGATGATCATTTTAAATATAAACATCATGGATTTTGCATTAGACATACAAATTTTAGATCTAATGTAAGAATTTTGTTTACACAGAGCAAATATGTTATCTTTTGTGCAAAATATATGACGTGTATATTCAAAATATTCCTGATCTTGCAAGGAATCCAGCAATGTCAATTATATTATCCTAACTTTAGTCTGAGATATTATTTACTATACCTTAAAATCTGGTGTTTCACCCAAACATTTCTCAGAGAGGAGGAGCCAGCGTGGGAAGAGAGTTAGGTCCGTGTTGAATGGACATTAACCTGGCGACTGTATTTCTCTTAAATATTAATTGTGCGTGCATACCATCATAAAATTAAGATGTTATTTTTACTACAAGCGTAGGTATTGTGTCGGTGTTGTGTGGTAAAAAGTGGGTTGAAATTCGTGATCTCTATTTCAATTAATCCCATATGTTCTGTTATTCCATTCTTGGCGTTTCTCGTTTACGCGGACCTCCATGAAGGTTCAATTGGCCGCTTAAATCGAGTATTACTGTCACTGTACATACACCGTCTACACACTAACTTACAGTAGGCATACACGATCCACTTTGCTCTGTACGAGTACTGTTTGCAGTCACAGACAGTAATTGCCAATCAGTTCCGCGAGCACTCAGAGCCAACCCACCCTGCGCTCGGCACGTGGCCGATTGTGTGATCTAGTGGTCAGAAATTCATTCGGATGCCATGAATGAAATTTTTATTTTTTCAGAATGCTAAAATTTTATTTTTGTGGGTAATGGAAAATCGAGAGTTGAATTACAGCTAATGAGAGATATTGCTGCATTGTATTGTGTTGGAGAGTGAATATAATTTGTTAAATAGTTGTTGCTTCTTCCACTGATTGTTTTTTTTTTTTTTTTTTTTTTATATCAAATCATCACTTATCAGCTCAGTAGCTGTTAAAGTTATATGTTATTTGTTACTTATGTTTTTAACGTGCATTATTTTATTTTAATCTTTTAAGCCTTTATTTTAATTCAGTGACCTATGACTTACCGGTAAGCTGTTGTGTCGTCGGGGATGTAATTACCGCAATGAATCAATCAATCTGGCTGTTGCTGTTGTTGTTGTTGTCCAGTGTTAGTTCAGTACAGTATAGAAATTATAATAAAAAAAAAAAGTAAATTATAAAATAATAATACCGGTAATGATAATAATTAATAATAATTAATACAAATGAATAAAAACTGTAAGAAAAATACATCAAATAAAATAATAATAATAATAATAAATACAAGAATATAAAAAGACCAAGAGTGAGAAACGGTATACAGTATGTATGTTGTGTTGTCCAAGTAAGAGAAACAATTGAGACCCTGCAATTGTGTGTAAGTGAGGCAGAAAGTCAGATCAGCAACCCGGAACTTGGTCACAATTTTTGTGATGCCATATGGCAGCAAGGTCTACCACTAGACAATACATTATGCTCCCAATATCTTCCCAGGCGGTAGTACCTCCCTGTTTGGTAATTGTTTACAGTATAGCACCCTTCTCACATGTGTCTGGTCCAATGACTCCAACCCATGACAGTGGTAAGAGATAATGCACCACCATCATAAAATAGTGGTATTTTTGTTCAGGTGCCCCAACACCCACAGCTGATGAGTTGTGTTTCTAAACCAAATTGCCTCAATCTATGCCATAATCATGTGAATAAAGTGATTTACAGAACAAACACATGGAGGTGCTTGTAGCCCCCTCCATTTTTCATTTGTAAACACACCGCACTACAAAGCGATCCACTTCACAGCTGTGGCTCGCTTTGCATGGCGTTTGGAAATTACAGTATTGCAATACCGTCCCATGCATTTGGGTAGTACTGTATGCACACTATGTACTGTGCAAATTGCCCAAATGAACAAAAGGCTCAAGACTGGCCCCCAGAATAACCCACCCAAAGTTTACCTGGGGCTAATCTTCAGATTATTCACCAATGCTAAAATTGTGAATGGTCCGTCTTGGTCTTGGACATAGTGGTCTCTACAACATCATCGGTACTAATGATGAATAGTCAATTAGTACCTGTAGTGGTACCTTGATATCTGAAAGAAATATTTCTGGAACGAACAAAAGCCCAGATATAGGTTTCTCCACCTCTGAAACTATTTCAGAAGTGCAAAAAGTGAGTTTATGATGAGAATCTGCAACAAGGAATTAGATATTAGAATAAATTGCAGCTGAATCTCTTCAAAATAAAGAAAGTAGCTAACACTTTAAAATCCTCCCAAAAAAGTACAGTACCATGTCCCCTAAATAAAATAAACCAGACTTTGTAACTTATTAGAATTTGGCACTAAAATTTTGCAATCAAGCCAATCCAGTAAACCCTCTATAACTCGGCACATATGGGGCTCTGGCCTTGCCGTGTTATCCCAAATTCTGAATTATCGAGGCACTTCCCCCCTTCTCCCATAAATGTGTACATGTAATTACTAAAAGTAAAAAAGTAACACTTACCAGCACTGCAGGCAAAGAATGAAACATCATAGGTGACACAGATATGGTATTTGACACAGAAGTGTGGTAGGTGACACAGAGGCATGGTAGGTGACACAGAGGCATGGTAGGTGACACAGAGGCATGGTAGGTGACACAGAGGGCCAGATATTCCAAGATTTTCCCAGATAATTTTACATATCTCGGCATTTCCCGAGTTATACGAATGCATCCCAAGAGTTATATGAAATTCCGAGTTATCAAATGCCGAGCTATCGAAGGTTTACTGTATGTCCATTAGTACTTACACGGGTTAGATTTCATAAAATTTGGGGTGGTTGCCTGGTGGGGACCGCTGGTCATCTCTTGTAGATGAACAGAGGCAAGTATGAAGTGTTAGAGAGGTACACCATAGCAGTGTACAATACAGTACCTCTGTTATGACAGTTAACAGAATGAATAATAGTGTATGAGAGAGAGTTTGTGATATTCTTGATTCTAGTCACTTTGCATCATAACTGGAAAATGCTTTCAAGGGGAAAAAAAATTATATGCTATAAATATAATATGTATTACTTAATTATTTATTTAATTTGCAGATGTGGTAAGGGTAGTCAACTTACAAGGAAGAATTAAAGAAAGGAAAAAACAAACATCAGAACTTAAGTTTGATTTCACCATCGACTCAATAGGTAAGTGTCCATGCCCATTAAATAACCAACAGTTTAATAACATTTATATGTGTAAAGTTAATTTTTGTTAGTTTTGGTGAAGATTATGGAATTGTTAATACAATATATCTCATTTATTTTTCAGTGTGCTTAACCGATAGTGTGTTAGCGTTTCACGAACACGGGATGCAAGGTCGGAGCTTCAAGAACGGTGAAATCACTCAAGAAATCATTGACAATTCACGACTTTTCAGGTTATTGGGCTCAGACAGGTGGGTTATATTGTGCAGTTTAAAGTTCTTTAGTCAACAATTGGTGTAGTGACACTAGTTTTTACTTTTTATTTATTTATTTATTTATTTATTATTATTTTTCTTGAGGAGAATACACTCACATCATACAGGGGAAGGACCCTTTACTCATGACTTCTCATATTTGACTGTTCCTCTAACGTCTGTGTAAAGTATTGAAATATGGCTCTTGACCACAATATTTACTCTTATTAATATTTCATGTATTGTATGTGGAAGTTAATATTATCTAATGGTATTTTGTTGTAGTCCTTCCATCATTGAAGATTATCCTTTGCTTGACACTTAAAACTTTAGGGTAGTTTGACTAAAGTTCTCAACCTTTTCCTGACCACAAACCAAAGCTGTGGTAAATGCATTCAACACCCAACATTGTATTAATACCACAGTTCCAATTTATGGCGAGGAAGGGGATAAAGGTAATGTTGGTATATCCCAAAATAGTTTATTATGAGGACAAAATCGTTGAAGTTCTTTTTTTTTTCTTTTTTCTTATAACAATCAATTTTGTGATCAGCATTCAAGAGGTGGAATTAAAGATTTAAATTTAACAAGTATATATTTAATATTATGCCTTGCAAGATAAAGGATTGGGAGTTGCAATGGTGTAGTGTGCCCTTAACCCATAATTTGTCTCACCACTATTTTACCCTTCTGGTTGAACTGTTTCCTGGTGCAGGCATTTACGGGATCCATTTTATGCAGACACTGTTCCGAGGTACTTGGTGGCATGGAGTGAGAATTATGCATTATCCCATTTTCAGTTTTCAGTTTTATTTCCATAGATGAAGGGCTGTGGCAGGATGTTAGGCTGCTTTTTATATATATATTTTTTTATTTATTTTTTATTTTTTTATTTTTTGCGTTTTATGTTTGTGTTCGTACATTTGGTAAACCTCCTAACCGTATCTAAATAAGGGTGTAATTGACACACTGAGAAGCTTCTTCAGTTGCTTTTATAACTGTACTTACAAAACCTTCTCATGACACTGAATGTAGGTAACCCTTCCTCCCTAACCACTCGTGACATATGAAAGTCTGAATTATCATACGATTAATTTTTAAATGAAATCGTCAAACAAGGAAGGCATATTATTGTTTAAAAAGTGAAAGTTTATCGGTGACTTGATTTTTTTAAATTACACGTGTTTATGACATCATGTGCCTAGGTGATACTGTACATGTATTGAAATAATCAATTGTTGTTGCTGTATTTGAATAATATTTAGTGCGCTCAAAGAAAATTATAATTTAAAATATTTTATATTGATGTTACTCTGCAGTAACTGTAATGGGCTAAACAGGAAAATATATGTGGTTCTGAAAAAAATTAGAACACTTCTTTTTTTCTTTTTTTTTTAATTTGTATTTTTGTATGCGATTTATCACTCTAATGCAAGACAACCAAAATGAAGAGCAAATACTGACTATCTCATCACTTGCTGTTATTCATTCATGCTTATTGCTGGAACAAATTTTTTTTTTTTTTTTTTTTTATTCCCTTCCACAACAATGTCCCTGTTGCTTCACTCACCAGCAGTGTGTCCACCTCTAGATAACACTTGATGCTACACTGCACTTTCTGGTGTGTCAGGTTACAACAGGAAGAGTGAATGAATATAGCTCCTCCCCGACTTATGACGGAGTTAGGGACCCAAATCCAGGCCGTAAGTCGGAAATGCTTAAATAATACATAAAAAATCTAAAATGGGTGTCTCTTTTTCTTCTCAGCACCACAAAACTCTCACTTTTAAGCTTGCCAGCCATTTTAAAGTGAATTACAAACGAAAATTTTGTCCGTGTACAGACTTTGGGACTCGAAAATACGTAATTTGACCAAATTTTGGTACGACTGAGGCAGTCGTAAGTGCGGGTGGTCGTAAGTCGAGTAGGTCGAAAGTTGGGGAGGAGCTGTAATGGCAAATAAAAGGGCAGTTTGGGGTGGTTCATGATTGTGGTGTCCCTGCATTATAGATACAGTAGTAGGAACCTGTATTATATATTTAAAAAATATATATATATGGTACTGTATTTCTGCTTATGAAGGCACCAGTTGTCCTCTTCAGATACAATTTAATTTGAGCAAAAAATATTACTAATAGTCTCCGAGGTTTCTAAGATATTTTGAATTTTGATGTGGCAGGAGATTTAAAAATTTTGATGGTAAAAAATTTAAGGGTTGGGTTTGTATCCCAAGTTAATAGCATGCATCACTCAGTGGTCAGATCAAGTTGATAATGTCTTAATTGTCCAAAGTAATGTGGAAGATTCTAACTTATTGAATATCCATTTGTTAGATGATAGCAGCCTTAACCATAAGAACAAAGGCAGTAAAGAAAAATGGAGAGAGAGGCTGTGTTTGTTCTTGGTTCTGGCTATCCCGTAATATAGCAAAAATGGGCTTGTAAGAGCAATTTTACACACACACACACACACATATATATATATATATATATATATATATATATATATATATATATATATATATATATATATATATATATATATATATATATATATATATATATATATATATATATATATATATATATATATATATATATATATATCTTGATAAAATCACACGGAAAGGGAGACAACGAGCACTTAGCTTTCGCTTTTATTCAAGACGCTTATTGGATCTACATTATATATATATATATATATATATATATATATATATATATATATATATATATATATATATATATATATATAAAATTTAGAGAAGTTGCCTCGGCACTAATGCCTTTGATTATAAGGTTTAGCATAGGTTGGGTTGAAAGCCAATACAGTACTAAACTTACAAACAAGTGAATTTTGGTCAGGTTTTCAATTGTGGATAAGAACAAGCCTAAGTGAGGAACGATGATTGACCAGGTCGCAGAAGTTATGTTACTTCTGGAACGGGTTTATGGTTGGGTCGTTGCCTCAGAAGCTTGACCTGTTCTGAATTCAAGAAAATTCAGTGACCTTAACCAGCACTATTACATCAAGTCTTCTAGACAACAACAGAATGTCTGTTTGTCTGTCCCCAATACACAACCTGCTTTGCTTGTGGCCATTTGTATGTCCATTCTTCTGTCTTGAATAAGTTATTATATTGCTCTCACAGTACATGAAAAATAATCCAATGAATAAGGAAATGAAGTTTTATGTGCATGTTTTATTCACATATAAATGATGGAGTTTTATATGTCATACTATTGCTGTACAGAATCTGACAGTAATGCTCTAGTTTGGACTTAGTCATAAATTTTAGGATCAATTTTCACATAATTGTCTCCAAAAATGTTGAACCATTCTTTATGATTATTTTTTATGTCTCTTAACACGTGCTGCACCCATCCACCCACCGTGCATCACAGCAAGAATACCTCTTGTTCCTGATGAAAAAATGGACATCATATGTTTAGGATTTACATTTATTATTATTATTATTATTATTATTATTATTATTAAAAATTTTAATTTTTGCTAGAATATTGATATGTGCTCATTTTCTTTTGTAATTGTGTTTAAAATTCCTCTTAAAAATTTCTTATAATTAGTTAAATGAATAGATACACATAGACTAACTATAATTTTTTAATATTATTGTTATGGTCTCATTTATTGTAATTTTGCTTTTAATATTGACAGTTTTGCTCCATTTTAGAATCAGATACAGTATTAACTTTATGTGCTCAAATAGTGTTTGAGTAGTTTCTTCTCTGGGGCATGTTTTTAGCTAAAATATTGTGCGTTTTCACAGATATTTTCCTTTCTCGTATTTTGTAGCATTGTTGGCAAAACAATAAACACTTGTAGTACACTGTAGTTGTAATTATGAAAGTGAATAAATGATTTCATGCTGTAAAAGTAGTGTGTGTGTGTGTGGGTGGGTGGGTGGGTGGGTGGGTGTCAAACAAATGGTAGACATATAGTTATTAAGAAATGACAGGGTATCCCAGATGGAAATCTTTAGAACTTGTTTCAGAAGGGAGCACTTTAACATAACACATTATTTCAGTGTTTAGAAAGGAGAGTGTGTGCTCGTGATTCCAGGCCCCCTTCACTGTAATGAGAAGGTGCTTGTAAGACCTGATTACAGTATACAGGTCTAATAAAGGACAGCTTTGGAGTTACCATATTTTGACAAATATAAGCCACCCCAAATTATAAGTTTAGGACAGGATTCATGCAAAAGAAGCCTGGTCTTCAATTCTAAGCCGCATCGGGAAGTTGTTTAGGATCAAAATAATATTCAGTTTTAAAGATTTTCATAACATGGGATACATACAAATTAGAATAGTTGATTGAGGTTACAGTTGTGGGGAAAGTATGCAGCTACATAACAAAAGGAGTGCAGTAGATGTGGCAACAGAATCAGTGAGCGAGGAGGTACAGTCACTAGCGATGATTTCATGGAATAAAAAATGTCACCACTTTGTTGGTGAATGCTCAGTCTGCATTTTGGAAAGCTGACTGTTTGATAAAGCATCGTAAAAGTTGAGAAGTGCATCCTGTCTCCCCTAAGCATTGACTGGCATGAGTGGCATAATGGCGTCTGTATGTTGTGTGACTGACTCCTGGGGATATTCTCCTGCGTTGCTGTAGTGGATTTGCCATTTGCAATGCAGTGATATCCCTATTAGCTAGAACAGTTGAGGCAGAGCACTTTTGGGAATGAGAGAGTTCCGGTTATCAAGACGAATTTCTCTACCCCCAGTCCTGGAATTTTTCCTAGTACAGTGGTCCCTCGGTTAACGAGCACAATTCGTTCTAGAAGGTTGCTCGTTAACCAAAACCATTGTTTCAATGGGTTTTTGGGTAATTGGTTCCAACTCGCCAAAAATTGCCTAAAATCAACAAAAAAGGTAGTAAAGTACACTTACTTTGAGGTGTGTATGTAGAAGGCTCCTGGGTGATGATGATGGGAATTAGAATGGGGGTGGAGGAGAAGGAAGAAGAGAAGGCAT